TTCTGGGTTTTGCTGGGTTTTGGTTGGTAACAGCAGTTGACTGAGTACATCAAGCCAAGGTGTCATGACATTAGAATTGACTGTACTTAAAAATGGGACAGTTTTACTGCAAAACCCCAGGTGTACAGATGGGGTCTCCCATCTTGCTGTCCACTTGTACCAATTTGTTTGGCATATCCTGCTCCTCACCTGACCTTCACCACAAGACTCTTCCTTCCTCACAGCCTTTGGTCACACACAGGGGCTGGACATCTCACCTGCCCACTGGATTCAAGTCTCCCAAGCGTCTCTGTCTTCACGAGCCCCTTGAGTCCATTACTTTGGAAACAGGTGACTGGAAGCATACGTGTATTTCAGACAAGATCTCACCAGGGCTTTCTTCAGCCCCCCTGGTGCCTTCCTAATCACCCATCCACTCCAGTTCTCTCCTTCTGCATTATCCTTTCTTTCTTTCTTAATTAGGCTGCCTACCTTTGCAGGACTGACAAAGGGGGCTTCAGGAGGATATTTAACTATTTAATGTATTATTTCCCTGTTCAGAAGATGACTGCACAATTAGGGAATCCCTAGCAACTCTCCAGAGTGTTCTAAACAAATTTCTAAGACAAAGATGATGTAATTTCCCTGAGATGCACTAGAAGGGGCCTCCAAACAGTTTGGGAGGTTTGTCTATCTGCCCATGTAAGCCACTCTTGCTGTCAAAGATGGCAACATCACCCATCACTGCCAGCCTTTGAGAACAGGACCCCTGGCACAGACACTGTTACCACACTCCTTCTGGTAATCTGCATACAAAACACACCCAAGTGCTTTAATTTTTTCCTCACAGGTTAAAAACCATCTGCTTTTTTCCTCTCCTGGACTCTTGTTTCAAAAGTGTCTGTGCTGTCCCTAAAGTGTGGCCCCATGGACCAGACACAGTGCCAAGCTCAGGCTTCAGTACAGCTTAGCCTGGAGAAATTATTCTCTCTTGCCATATGAACACAACTGCTGTCAGCATCTTCCAGGGTGATCTTTGCTTTTTATGCAGCAGGATCACAATTTGATTTATATTCTGTTTGCAGCCCAGCTATAATCCACAGATTACTAAGTCCCAAACTGCTGCTTATAAAGGTCTTTTTCATTTTCATTCCATCTGCGCTTATTTATTTGCCTCCTGAATGTAGTATTTTCCACCTTTTTTTCCCCCTGACCTTCCCTCCAATTCATCAAAACCATTTTTTCATTTATTCTGGCCTCCCAGCCTGCAATCCTGATGAGCTAATACTTTTATTCACTTCAAAAATGTAGCCTCTAACTCCTTTGTTTACTGAGTTAATGACATTTGCCAGAAACAGCTGTGAGAGATTCCTGCTGGACCCTCTTCCAGGTTTGACTACCTATTGATATTTTCCATTCCCTCCTGCTCACTGAAAGCCATCCACCACGGCCGCCTGGCCACTCTTGTACTTTCAGGGCCTTTCTGCCTGTACCAGTGGAAATATTTAATCTTCTCTGCAGTCTGCAGTAGCCCTTTGCTCATGGAAGAGAGACAATTTTCTTATCTTTGAATTCCCTCTGGCTGTGATTGTGTCCTGATGGCCCACTCAATTTAAAACACAGCATTCAGTGCTAATCACTCTGCACATCCAGTCAATTGCTTTGATTTCATGATCAGCCTGAAGCAAGCAAACCACAGAGCAGCCTGTGGCACAGGGACACCCAGGCCCCTCAGTCATCATGGCAATCTTGTTCCTCTCAAGGCTGGGCAGAATTTTTGCTCCCTGGGAAACAAAGCAGAGCAGAAGTGCTGGAATTGCTGAGTTCACAGGCACAGCCCACTGTGGCTTGGGAAGTTCTCCCAGCACCTGTGGCACGCACTGCCCCAGGATCCACACTGCATGGTTAGTGGACAGGTGTCTCACAGCACTTGTACACCTTCTGCAGGATGGGACATCTGTTACAACACTCAGTCACTTCAGTGCCTTCAATGGTTTGCAAAATAAAATCATCAAATAAAAATTCCAATGATGACACTGATTATTGTCAAGTGTTTGGCTGTAGGCATATACTCCAAAGAGAAGTACTCTACACCCCTTCTTCAGATGGCCAACTTAAAAATACCAGTGATCTACAGTCACTTGCACACTCATGGCAATGCACAATGCTGGCTGGAAGGAACACCTGAAATCATTCCCTACCAACTCAGTGCCCAGTTTCTGCACCATGGAGTGCTGCAGAAAATGTGTCCAAGTGCTATAACCCAGTTTAAAAGTAGAGGACATTTCACATGTAACAAATAAGCAGTATGAAACAGCAGCCCAACAATGGGAATGGACACTGTCCCTCACAGAAATCCTCCCTGATCATTTGCCCAAATTGTTCTGACAGTCCTCAGTGCTCCTCAGAGTCTTTCCAGTTGAGCCACATGACATACCATGTACTGGACCTAGTACATGAGCCAAGGGCTTATTATTCCAAGCACAAGTGGATGGATTACCTCAGGTGGCCATTATGCAGCGCTTCCAGTTATGACACCTTCCCTCAATATCTGTTTTGTGATCCACTCCTGCCTCAGACACTGGCCTAAAGAATTGCTGCACAGCCAAGAAGGGCTGTAACTGTGCAGTAAGTTTTTGTTACTCCCGTACTCTTACCTATTTGCCCTGATAGAATTTGCTCCTCTTTCAGGTAATTTTTCTAATTCATAAAAATAATTTCAACTTTTAATTCCATTTTTGGAAATGATTAAACTATCTCTAGTTGATATAATCCAATACTTTAATATTAAACAAAATTATATATATTGCTTCATCAATGGAGATGACTGAATAATACCAAAAGCAAGACAGGTCCCTGTGGAACAACTGTTGTTTTTTGAGTTTGATGGTGGAAGACTGATAGCATTTTTCTGAACAAACTAACCAGCCTTACAGTACTTCACAACACTTCAAACAATGCCAGTATCTTCTGGTTTGCTTTTAAAATGTCTTGTTAAAGCAGCTGTTTCTCTTTTTTATCCTGAAGCTCATTATATTGCTTTTAAAGAAAATTGTTTCAAAACGGTGTAGTAGTAGCAAATTTTTACTGGTAGAGGTAAACCTTCATCTAGATTTATTTCTTTTTAAATGACTATTTAATTCAATGATTATCCCTGTTCTGTGAAGATTGAAGGAAAAAAAAACCATTGAGTATTTAGCTTATCCCAATGGACTGAATGCTCTTCTTTTTGTTAAATAATTGATTTATTTTTCCTTCCCTTTCTAGTAGATGTTTCATTAGACTTTAGCAGTCAAAATTTTTTGAGTTTTTCAGTTCTTTTTTGCACATATCTTGCTTGTACATTTATATTCTTTCTATTCTTGTTGATTTTTCTTTTTAAAGAACTTCCGGCACAATTAAAATGCCCTCTTACTATGCTCCCAGGTTTCCCAGTGCATTGGTGTAATTTCTCATTATGTGTCCTTTTATTAGTTCTTAAAGATGATAAACAATTTATCATTCCGTTTGTTTCAGCCACTTTATTAAGTATGCTGGAGTGAATTCCATCTGCTCCTACTTAGGCAAGAATTTCCAGCTTTCCAAAATGCAACTTTTCAGAGAACACTGCCCTCCCAAATCTCCTACAGACACCTCCCTGTGGCACCATACAACAAACTCTGTCTGTAGATCACTAAGCTGATTTGAAGTCCATGTAAATTTTAGTGTATAGCTTTCCATCTTTGCCTAAAATTACAAAATTCTATCTTGTGGCCAAGATCAAACCAGTTTCTTCTTCCAGATTAACAATTCCTCACTAGTCTGAATCAAACCTTGGGGTCACTCTTGAATTAGACTCCATGAGCCAGTGTCCCCCACGCATTTGTAGGAACATTTGTGCAGTTTGCCCTATCAGAAAATCTTCTGCATGTATTATGAAGAAAATAATCTACTCCAAGATGGATACAATGGAAGAGAGCTTTTGTCAAGGCCAACAGTTTCTCTCAAGACAACTAATTTGTCACATAATACGTCACAGTTTACCTTTCATAAACATAAATACTCTCTGCTACTCTTCAGGTGTGTCAAATTAGTAAGGTTAGTAAGTAAGCAGATACCATTCTTGAGAAGGAATAAAAATTTTGTGTTCCATTTTTTTGAGAATAAAGCCAGGGGTAAAAATGGCTGTAGGTGATCTTCTGGAGAAATTCAAGATCTGAGCATTAACTCTTATCCCAAAACTGTGAGCCTCACAAATATGTGAGCCTACGTAATGATTCTCACAGATTCAAGATGTCAGGCACATAGACAGGGAATCACACAAGTCTGGAAAGAGCCCTTTTCCACTAGAATTCTAGGTCCACCCATCACAACTATTTCTTTCCATTAAATATGTTATATTTAGCACCCAATGCCAAACAGAAGGAAAAAAACCCCAACAGTGTGCAATAGAATAGGCTGGTACTTAGGCTGGATAGACAAAACTTTGATGAAGTAATAGCCTTCTTTTAAAGTTCTTTCACTTGTTAAATGAACTGCTAGATTAGTTTTGAGACTAATCTTTGAACTAATAAAAGGTACTGGCTAAAAGAGAGCTAATAAATTACTCTCAACAGAGGAAGTTTGTTTTCTGGCCTTCTAGTGATGTGTTGAATACATGGTTCACTGGGAACCAATACAAAAACAACACAAAGATTTGTCTAATGAAATGAAACAACAGAAACATAGTATAGCTTCAGTTTTTTTCCAAAGTGCCAACACTGTCCGTGCAAAAAATAAACGTAGAAGATTAAAGGAGAACACCACCACCATATAATAGATTTAAACTTACTCTTTATGATGCACTTTCATCAAAATTTGTAGTTGCCAAGTATCAAACTTCACTCATGCAACACCTATCCACTAAGAAATACATACTTTGGTGAGAAAATTAAAGTCCATATTTATGTAAAAACTGTTTCAAAATAAAAATAAAACAAGATTTTTTTTTTACCAAAAAAAGATTTTTTTTTTGCTTTTGTTAACAGAATAATTATTTGGAAAACATAATTTCTCACATGAAACAGTTAAAGGAAGTTAAATATATTTAAAAATGGAAGATTCTGCATTTACATAGTTATATACCATTAATATTGAAGATATCATTTCTGGCAAAAAACTTCTCATGCTTAAAAAATGCACCTTAGTTTTATACTGTACATTACAACATACAGTAGTAAGAAACAGAATTAGTAAACAGGTTATATGCAAAGAAAAAGGTTACATATACAAGACAATTACAATTGTGACACAAAAAAATTAAAATGTTCTGTTTAAACAGTATTTGAAGGCAATTCACAATCATTTCAGGAGTTTTGTGAAATTTAAGGCCATTAGTTCTAAATAAAATGTATCTGACACAAACTCACAAAACTGTGTATTTTGTACAAAATATACATGCAAAACCATTTTATAATTATATACGAACAGGCATATAATAAATTTTTTGGGTAGTTCCGTACACAAAATTTTGCACAAAGCAACATAGTTGTGCAATTTTTAAACCAGTTAATTAACTTTATTATTCATGCACCCTGAATGGAAATGTGATTAAATGACAATATTAAGACCAAATATTAAGAGTCAGCATCCCTTTGAATGGGCAATCTAGACAAAAAGAAAATTAGGATTTTAAATTTTTAAAGTTAAAAATGGTCCATTATAAAACATCTGATGTAATCTTCACTTCAAGACATTTCTAAAGACATTTCTAAAGCAAAATTTCCAGTGCTTTAAGGAATGCATGATATGATTAACGAGCTCAGCGAGTCAACTATAACACTATGATAGTTCTGGATTGAGGTAATTTTCTTTAATTAATTATAGCAAGTAACTATTCTGATTTGTTTCAGTAGCTAGTTTAAAAAACTGTAAACTTAGATAAATTAGAAATTGGAGAATCTCTGAAAAAATACACATACCTCCCCCTCAGAGTCTGGAGTTAGTTGTAAGTAATATGCAATTATGTTATTTGCACTTAGGAGTTAGGAGTTTAAATCTTCAATACATGAAATGAATGGATTACTTGAAGCACTTCAGTTACTTTAAAACACATAGAAATATTTGTCCTTTTCATAGCTTTCATTTGTATTTGTCTGGACAAACATTCAAAGAGATATTGCTTCTCTTGTTATCTTGTGACAAACTATTGCAAGCTAGAAGACATGTGAGTCAATATTCCAAATTTTTATTCTTAAGAATAGTTATAAAAGTACTGAAATTTAAAAATAGTAACATGTAAACATTGATACAGAGTAATAGCATTCCTATACATTTATTTACACACAGCGTTCAGAGAGGACCCAACCTTCTGAGTTGAAAACCTGACTTGTGCTTTCCGCCTCCAAGAAGTACATCAAAAAAATAGGGTGTTTGGATTAAAAAAAAAAAGTCTCAGAACATCAACATTTTGCTCCTAGCATTTAAAAGCTTTCCAGTTGCTTATGCAACTATAGGAGAATTTTGGTATGTGATGAGAACTCTTCTAGCTCCAAGAAGTTATCAGAAGCTACTGTTGCATCCAGAGATCTGTGATAAATGCCCAACAGTTCAGAGCAGTCATATCTGAGTCTGCAACACGTGAATCGGGGGTGTGTAGGGTGGTGGTGCAGGTGATGGCTTTATTCCTCTGACTCTCATGTAGGACAGAAACTGCTCTGGGATTTCAGCTAATACATCTTTAGCAAGTCTTGCCATGCTTAACACATGGTTTCCACTTCTGTCAATGTAATCTCGGAATGGCACAAACTACAAAACAAAAGAGATTTCACTCAGGTCATTATGCAGACACAGAATGCATCTTAAAACATAAAAATAACAATGCTTAACCTAGGGAGTTAGAGTACACAAATATGTAACCTTACACAGTTTTAATGTACATATACATACATTGCATTTTATGCTATCTATTTTATAAATACATACTGTATCTCAATTTTTGTAGGTCTGTCTTCTAAGAGAAATGGTGTAATGCTTTCATTTGGGTGAACCCTTTCACATAAGTCTAGTTTGGATTGCTGGTGACATGCTTCGCTGATGTATTTGGGTTATCTCTCAATTTTTTCCATTCCAAGAATGTAATTTTTGTCTCAGAAAACTATTCTTAGCTGACATTCCCTGCTCCTGGGGCCACCCACCAGACTGCCTCCACTCTGGCACTTGGTGAATAGATCTTTTTGACCTCTGAAGTGAATAAAACAGAAAGGATGACTTAAATTTTTGGCCATTTTGCATTGTACCTAGCGGAACTATGAACCACCTGAACATTTTAAATATGATCCTACCAAATGCATAAAGAAGCTAAGCAAAAAGAATTGGATCAAAAAGAACTTGCTATGTGATGTCAAGATGTTCAACACCTGAACCAGTAACCTGCCCAGCCCTGGCTTGAATTTTACCTATTAATTCTCATACCTAATGAGAATCTTGTGCTACTGGCATACAAAAAGAAGCAATCCAGGCTCCTTGATTTTTTTTTAGTTGTGTAAAAAGTACATCCAGTCTAAGTTAAAGAACATGTGTCCCATCCTAAGAGATCACCTTACCCATCAGTCTGCAGACATGAAATCTCAGACCACTGCTGTGTAGCAGACTGGGGCTATTTCAACAGTGTAATTGTTGAAATGCAATTATACAATATAGATGTCCTGATTTAGCTCTTTTTTGCCTCTCACACTGCAGAGATGTCAGAGGAGCTGCAGGAACTGGTAAGCAAACAGGTAAGCAAACCTTGGGATGTACAAGGACAGCTAACATGGAGATGGCAGAGGAATAGAATGAAAGGTATAAGAGAAACCAAAGGGAAACTGGTGGAATGTCAAGTGCTTTTTCTATAATTTAAGAGTTTAATTAAAAAGGCTAATATGCAAAATCCTCAGGAGAAACAGCAGGTGCATCACTACAAGTAAATATTCTCCTAAAATGTCTTAAACAGCAAAAGGATATGGAAGGAGCAGAAATTAAACAAAACTGAGGAAGAATTTCTACACATATAATACAGAGTATACAATATGTATACATACTAGTGAGGAGGAAATTGTGAAAAACATGAGCCTTTACATGAGTTGCAGTCTGTAGTAAATGTAACATAAAGTAACTCACAGTTAACACACAAACTTATCCTGCACAAATTTAATAAAAATATTCCACAATACTGTTAGAATTAATAGGTAATAATTTCACTAGTTAATTTTAACTAACCTAATACACAAAAAAAAAATATAAACTTTTTATATTTGACTAGTTAATTTTATAAAGGCAAATCACTTTTAGCCTGCTATACACAAAATAAAGATCAAACCAAACTTAGAGGGCTTTTCAGAATCCTTTTTATTTAGTTAGTCTATAAAGTAAATATTTGCTAGCATTTAGAAAGAAAAAGAGCACAAAACACTGTCTTCAGGTAATTCGATATGGCATGGGACAACATTCTGTTTAAAATATATTAATAATAAATACATGTTTTATTACAATTCTGATATGCAATGAATTCCAAAGAAATACAAAAGGGTATTCATTGCATTTTTAAAAAAAACTATCTTTCAGCATATGTTAGTAATCTCTGATGCAAAGCATTTTCACAAATGCATGTTTTGAACATGTCCTTGGATTGAAATATTACATCTACCAGCAGTTATCAATCAATCCTTAAACATTCACATATCAGTATTTGTAGCATTAAACATTTGAAAAGTTTGAGTTCCTGCATATATAAATGGAAACAAATAAACGTATCCCAAAGTTCATCAACTGCTATCTGACCTTAATTATCATGCAGTATGAGCAATTGATATGGCTGAGTTACTCTCCCTCTATATGTATTCCACTAAACAATATAAAAATCCAACCTGTCTGGAAGAGAAGTAAGTGAAAATAAGTAAGAGGAAAAATAAGTGAACACTCTATGAAGTTTGACAAATAGGAGGAATAAAGGAAGAAGAAGAAATGGCAGATCTCAGGTGAGGTTTGAATCTAAGGATCTGAGAGCAAAATCTGTCAGTGTTTAAGAGGCATTTGGACAATGTCCTTATTAACATGCTCTAGCTTTAGTCAGCCCTCTATTAAAGTGCCCAGGCACTAGATGTCTGTTGTAGGTCCCTTCCAACTTAAATACTTTATTTTATAAATGTATTCAGCCACTACCAGGAAAATATGGCTTCCATATATGATTTACTTTTAGACAGATACCATTTTTTCTAGAAACATCATGTTTCTCTAAATTTTCAATAGCTAACTCTTCTCCATGGCTGTATCACACAAAGACTTTATAACAGTGTCCTGCCAGTTAGGGGTCATTTCCTAACAGACACAGATGCAGTACCGTGTGTGTTATAAAAAAGGCTTAGCTCTATCACAGAGTGCTTCTGAGGTTGTTATAAACACCTCAAGATAAAGTATGTCAATGCTAAGGTAAAATGAAAGCCAGGAATACAGACAGAAATAAGAATTCAAAACAAAGATGAACAGTAAAATCTATCTATGAGAATATATTTTTTCTCCCACCTGCACAATGTCTCTTTCTGCAAACCTTCCTCTTGAAGAAATCCTCACTACATCCCCATCCAGTTCTTCCATAGCTTAGAAAACAAACAAAAAACCAAACAAATCTATGAGTTCAGGTACACAATAAAATAATCTTACTGAGAAAGATTTTGTTTAGACAACTTACACTTCCAAGCAATAAAACCAACAATTCTTCTTTAGGTAACTCTGTTAAGATAATTTGCAATAGAAGATACATCATGTTTGGTAGCTGTTTTGCACTTTTTCATAGTGACAATACATACTTTTATCTCTTGTCACCTCCAGGAAAGAACAGACTATGAGAAAGTTTTTACTTTTTCATCTCTCAAAACAGCAAGTATATCTGGTTTTGTAAGGCTATATATATATACACACACACACACACACATACACTTTCTGAGGTGGAGAAGAATTCATCTTCAGCAGCTATTGTTACCAAAGATATCAGAGGATACAGCACAGAGGTAATAACTCACATTCACAGTGAAAAAGCAGTATCTTCTAATGCTAAGGAATGAGGAGTGCTTAAAAAAATTACTAAATTTACTGGGCAATTCGTCTTGCATCTTCTGAGCATAATACAAGAAAGCTCCGTTGTCCAGATACCTGGAATCTATTCTAGGTAGAAAGATGTACCTGCTCTCTTGTCAGTATTGAAATGGATGGATTTGGGATCTCAGATTACTGTTCAGATGTTGAATCTGCAATTCTACAAACCTTTTTTCAGTGTACGCTATGAAAACCAAAGCCCTGCACCTCAGCTTCTCAGGGCTTTACAAACTGGGCTGAATTCACTGAAACCAGCACTTCAAAACCTAGTTCTTCTGAAGCAAGAACTAGAAAGTATAAATGACACTCTCAGAAGCCAAGCTGAACAGAGCATATTTGTTCAAAGAAACAAATCAGGATGTCTGCAGAGCATGTTGCCTGATGCTGCTGCTGCAAAAACACGCATGTGTTCAAACCAGGAGACTGAACAAGTATTTGGAGGAGTGTCACTAAAATAATTCCAAAACAGACATAAAGCATATCCCACCCATGAAACTCAAATCTAAAAACAGTATTCAGAGAAGTATCATATTTGCTTAGTCTGTTCTTAACACTCTCTAGGAAACTACCCATGGCCACACCAGATACAGAATACTGGACAAAAATAGTCCCGTTGTGATGTGTTACAGTCATCCTCACATCCTTTAAGTAAAGTGCCTAACAATCACCCTCCTGCAGACACACTTCTTCAGCATCCATAGCAGACATGCAGCCTGTTGTTCATTCCAGAAGTGATTTCTGCAGATGGAAGTAACCTCTGTCCTCTTGGGCACTGAGGGACTACAGACTTGGCATACACCTAATGGGTGAATCTCACTGAGGCAGTGCACGCCACAATTGTGGCTCCAAAGATGGGAAGTGTATCCTGCAGTACAAACAGAATACCAACTTCAGGAAAGGGGGAGAGATGACACCCCAAGAACATGTCCTGAGAAAGGTAGCAAATCCTGGGCAAATCCAAGGACTAGACAAACAGGGAGAAAGGGAAAATGCAATGGAGAGGTGAGAGAATGGTAAGTAACACAGTACCATGTTGGAATTCTCAGGAGTAAAAATGAAGTTTACTAATTTCCGTCATATGCATTTATGAATATAAACTGTCTTTTCTCACTGATTGTGGCATACAATCATCTGAAATATAAGTGTTCACCTGGACAATTTCTTCATAGAATAAGATACTTAAAATTATGACTAATATACCACTTGCCAAACAGCATAAGAATAATGCTTGTAATAAAACAAAATAAACTTTAAATAAAATAATTTGTCTTATATTTTCCTACTTTTTCCTACATTTAGAGTATTTGTACAAAAATTAACATGTACAGTCATCAGTCAACAGTAAACATCTGTGGTAGTAATATTACATATATTTCATGCACAACAGAAGGCATACTGTCTAACCAGATGTACTAGAATTAAAAAAGAAAGAATTTAGGACTTTGAAGAACAGATGCACACAATGTCCACACTTCATAGTGCAGTGATACATACTTAAACAATTAATACAAATAATGAAAGCAGCTTAGTTACTGCAACAGTGAATGGTGTTCTGGAATATAACAGAAAGAATACATAAATAACCTGGTAATTTCTCTCCTGCTGTAACATCCTGTCAATGCTGCTTCACAGCAGGGCTCACTCCTGTTACCAAGTGAAACCCTGTTTAATCCAGATCACCTCAAATGTATTTATTTTTCTCAAGATTTTATTATTGCAGTAAGATCAATATTTTCACTCAACTGACAATTCACGAGGCATCTAAATATTTGTGTTGAAGAAATTTAACATTTCTTGAGTATACTTACTTTACTGTAAATGCTGAGCCCCCATATGGTTCTGACTTGAACAGAGAGCCTGAGGGGCTACACAGCTCCACATGGTAGCTTGTAATCACACTGAGTTATCAATCAATCAATCCAGCTGGAAATGCCAACAGCACTCACTCCTTGCTTCATATAATGTTCTTTTAAAGACCAATATTTGTTTGAAAAGCCACATATTACTAAAATGTAAGCAAATATTAAAAAAAAAATAGAAAAAACACTAGAACACTTACCATCAAACTCTGCTGGTCCTACTCCCACTATAATTATGGACATTGGAAGCTTTGAAGCCTTCAAAAGAAGAAAAAGAGGTTTAATGCATTACATAACCTCTAACCAACAAAATGAGATCTGAGAACAAAGTGAACAAAAAACATGCAGAAATGATGTTTTAAAGAACAATTTTTTTTCCCCTCTAAAAATTTGAGTGATGTAAACTGTCTGCTCAAGTGGTACAAAACATCTTGGATGAAGATAGAAAGGCACATGGCTATTTTATTTTTTCATCATGAAGACTTTGAATCATATAGGATGCTAATTAAGGACAACAAACTATGTTAGCATTTAATACTGACAACTAAGAGGACAAATTTCTCTCAGAAACTTTTATAAACTGACAGTAATTGCAAATATGCACCTAATAACAGTCTGCCATTAATTTAAATGTGCTTTGCTGTTTCTTGATATTACATAGCTGCTTGCAACTATGGGACACTATTTTGTACATTGATCTTATGCCAATTTTTAAAAGAAAATAAATAATCTATTTGAACAATATGTATATTACATCTAACCCATTAATGAAATTTTACTCTAGTCAATCATCCATGCCACATACAAGCAATATTGGCCTGTGGTAAGATTTTAAATTTTACTTTATCTTTTTCACTCAAAGATGATATCTGTCTTTCCCTGAATAAACTCTGTAAAACCTTTAAAATTACAAAGATGCTATTTTAAATACTGGACTCTCCTGACATGATAGTAGCATCAGTTTATAAAAATAATGTGTATCTGTCTCTGATGAAGAAGGTATCGACTAAGACCAAAGAACATTCAGCAAATGTCAGGGTTGACAACTTACTGAGATAATTCTGATAATTCTGTTGCTTATTGAGATATTCTGATGTCTACAGTCATTTTAAACAATAGAACAGGAGTATAAACTGGTCAAAAAAATCACAGATCTACACTTTCTTATCTCTTAGATCAGAACCTTCTTCTTTTCAGTTGTTTTCTAGAATGTTATTTCTTGATTGTAAAGAAAGTATCCTTTAAAGAGATTCCTACTCACAGAGACACAGAATTATGTGATACAATGAAATATGAAACAGTAAGTGGCAAGGACAGCATAAAGACAAAGAGTTAAACTTTTTCATATAAACTTAAGCGTTGGCATTTCCTGAATGACAGCATAACCTTTAAACAGTTTGGTAAAACAGAATGCGCCTGACATATATGCTGTAATGAGAAAGATGCCTAAAAGCACAATTAATGCTAAAAATTGAAATGTACTCTGATTTTTATACACATCAAGTTGCAGTGGACATCATTGCCCTTTTTAGTATTATGGATATTATTAAGACTGAAAAAATAGCATTTAATTAGTTCTGTCATGGTATGCTGCGCACACACTACAAGAAATATGCAGAAAAATGAAAGCGTCTTCATAAAAAACCAAGACAGCAAATATTCCCAAACTTCCACTTATTTCAAGCTAACAACACATCTGCTGTGTCTCCAGATAGTTGTAGACCAACAGTCATTATTCCTTGAAATGAACTATTACTGAAAACAAGGTTTTTCTGTATGTCTTAGTGGCAAATGAATTAATCTTACAAGATACCAGCCAACTGCACTTGCTGGTCTCTTATGCACAGACTTCATATGGAAGGGTGACTCACAATCCAGAGCTGCTCTTTTTTTCTCCACTGAGCCTTTCTGTGACCTAAAAGTAGCTCATGTAAAAGAAATTGTTTCAAACTTCTAGGCTGGGCTAGAGAACGATTTTCCAAGATTATTACCATACAAATTCTGTGTAGGTGCTAAGGCAGAACAGTGGGGCAGGATTTTCATGGGCACCCCACAAATTGCAACAGTATCAAATCTCTACAGGTGGTACTGAAAGCGGATCTTCCAAACTATGCCACCTAATTCTACACTATTCACTTGGACATGATGCTAAATTACTTTAATGTAGGCTTTTCAACTCATCACTTTGCTGTTAACTAGATCCACTGTGGTATGTTAAAAAACACTGGTAGAGACTTTTCCAGTCACATCTACAAATGTTTCTGTGTATACTTTCATCTGAAATTTTCCATGCACAAAAGCACAATAGCACCTGCTCATAATATCAAATATTACCTATACACATGGCAGTTTTGAAGAGAAAAACACTGAAAGTAAAGCAGAACCTAAGAAATAAGGAACTTACAGAGTTTTAGGGGACTGTTTGGAGGGAAATCAGATAATTGGTATATGTGCCATTCAGGGTCGGAAAGTTGGGGACGGTTTTTAAGAAGTGTGGGGATCAAAGCTGTCTGCAAGTATAAGATAGAAAAGAGTTCACTACGCAAAACTGCATGGTGGGGTGTGCTTGAGGAAGGAAGAGGCAAGAAGTAGATGAGGAAAGTCATACAAACCTACAGTGCTAGAGAGAAGAGTATCATTTACCAGACAACACTATCTAATTAGCTCAAGTTCAACGCTTACTTTCTTTCATCTTTATGCATAAAAAACTTCTCCCCTTTGGTAAAAATGGGTACTTATGGAACAACCCCAGTCCTTGAAGCATTAATCCATTCACTTTATTGACTAAAATATGAATTTCTAGAAAGATAATTTTAACACTTTCAGTAAAACTTACATTCACTATGGATTCTTTTGTCTGAGCCATATCAGATATAACTCCATCTGTAACAATCAGAAGAACAAAATACTGGGAGCCATCTTTTACTGAAGCAGCATACCTAAGGGAAGAAAAACCAACATTATAATAGTATAAAATTTGACTACCAAGGACTAACAAACAACACAGTGAATTTCAAAAGTAAAGATATTCATAACTAAACCGGACATTCTACTTTTAAATGAGAACAATGAAAAAACATTACTAATACAATATTGATAATCTGCATGTGTTGCATCAGTGAAAATTGCAAACTGCATCACTACCAAAAAGAGCATGGACAGAATGTGCTTTATTGAATCATGAGATGTTAGAAAGCCCAAGGTGTTTAATAGGTATTACCTACGGGGAACATATGAAGGGTATACAATGGCTGGGTTTATAGAACAAATAAAACTTAACAGGAATCAACATGTTGCATATTTTCCTCCTTTTTTGCTTTCTTTGTCTTACAAATACAGGTTACTTACTGTTGACCAGGATTGCAGATTTTATAGTTCACATAGTTCACATTTATGTGCACATTTATAAAATGGCTGAACATGCACCCTGCAACCCTGGCTTAGATATTAATTTCTTTGCACCACCCGCACATGTCTTTTCCTTCAAGACTCAAGCTTCTCCATGTGATGTACAGGAATGCAAGATAAAATACACCCAGTGCCATTCCCACCTCAGTCAAAGGACCCAAGAAGCAACTACTCTTTGAAAATGAGCAGCTTTTGAAGGTTTGCAGTCCTGAAAGAGAGCGAGTCCAAACAGCCTCACTAAATTCATGGCCTGAACAGAAGAACCTTTTTTTTGCGGGAAGTTGTTTGCTGCTTCACAGCCACTACAGTTCCAACTTTTATGAAGGCTCTTGGTGCTGTGAAGTCAAAAAGTAGAACCTCGTGCAGAGAGTTTTATAGAGATTGGCAAAACCAACCATAGAACACATTTTCACTGCCATGCAGAGACTTCTTTTATCTCACTTTTCCACTATGCTTATAAACTTCAATGATGAGTGCACTGACAAGGTATGACGAGAGAGTACAATAAACATCATTAGCCTATCTGAGCACTTAACACTGCCTACATATCTACACTAAAGAAACAGAACAGAAATTAGGTTATTTCAAATTTTTCACAGACTAAAATGCTCCAAAGCCTTTTGCAAGGAAGATGTTATATGAGGAGAGGAAGTTGAATCTGCTGTGGTTTAGATAACTCTCTAAAACTGGGGGAAGGATAAAAAAAATCATTATCTGCCTAAAGAGTTTCCAAAGAATACCAAGATCACAACAGGATATTAATACCTGACATTGTTTATAGAGATTTCATTGGAGACATTCTTTTAAGTACAAGGGATGTGGAAAGAAGAAATTTCTTTGAGGCTGAAGGTAGGTTCAAAGAGTAACTGCAGGGCAGTACCATGTCTATGAGAGTCACAAGAATTATCAAAAAAGTGAACCTTGAAGGAAAATGGTGTTACTGAGAACTGGACTGATACACAGATTTCTCTAGGGATGATCATGTGGTAGAAATCCTTGTGAAGACATACTTAGCTTTCCCACTACAATGTGGTATGATTTGCTACCAGAAGGAACTCTCAAAGTTTGCAACAACTTGATATTTAGACAAAAGTTCAGTGGAAGGACTACTAATACTGGTGGATAGTCTTCTGTTATTCTGCTGGCAAATATTCCTGAAAAACAACTGGTGAGAAAAAGAACTAATTTTATTCCAGTGCTTTGATAACACTGGATCAAAAATTTCAATTTTTGCAATGAACAGAAGGCTTGAGATAAATTGCCATGTTCTGAGTCAGGCATCTCAGGTGCTATGACCAGTTCTGAAGAAACAGAAAGAGCCAGAAAGATTGTCAGGTTAGATTTCCAGATAATGTGGCTAATGCAGACACTGAGTGATACATATACAGAAAACTGCTACTGAAGAGATCATGCCAAAGGAAAAGATTAAAGGAGACAGCTACTCTCAGATGACAAGCAATGTAATATACGTGTACATAATTTTAATGGTATGAACTGAAAACAAAGCAACGAACCCAAATGATAAATAGCTGAAATCAGCTATCTAGCCATGCTAGGGGGAACAGAAAATTCTCTGCACCACAGAATTTGCAAATTATTTTCTGCTGGTCTGTAGAACTAACATCAGCAGACCAGATAGTATAAAAATATCTCTTGCTATTAAAATTAGCTGTTTTGCAAGCTTATAAAAAACATTACCAGTACAATGATTTATACACTCCTACTTCTTTATTTTGTAACCAGTAGTTCTTTGTGTCTATAAATAAAACAAATCTGTTCAGCAATTCACCTAAGCCATATCACTTTCCTATATAAATTCATGGAGGTATTATACTTCCAAGGTCTTGAGCTCAAGATTATAAGTCAAGATGTTGTCTGCCAAAATAAGGCAACATTATCCTTCTTAAACTTTTTTATAAACACAGGAAGTTTTTTACTTTGAGGTGTTAGATGAGGTGTTGCATAACAGCACCATGGCTCCCCAATGATGACAGCTGTATCACTGCCTTAGAAATACCTACTAGCTGGGAATTGTTGGCACAGGGAGACCTGGAAGATTTTGTTGATGTTTGGGACATTTAAATATTAGAGAAACTACATATACCTAAAAAAACTCAGCTTGTAAAAATTTTTGATAGATGCATGTATTTTCTGTGAAGCAATAATTCTGTGCTCTAAAGGACAAAAAAAGGAACATGACACGACAAAAATTTTCTTTCCTTAGGATTTCTGATCCTTATGATTTTGACTCAGGCTGGTCAACTGGATCACTTGTATTTCTTTTTAATCAGCAAATAAATTCTGCACAATACCAGCACATGGTCTTCAAACCTACAAGTCACAAGGTAATCATGGGACTGAACAAACAGAACAACTGTCAATAAATACCTTTCTCTGTAACTGTCAGCCTTTTATATGCAGTAGTTGTTCTGACACAAAGAAGTTTCTGCACAGCACCTGTTGTGATGCTTACCTGGCTACATGATTAATTACAGGAGCAAAGTTTGTTGGTCCATAAAGCTGTACAGATTTTAAACTCCTGTAGTATGCCTCCATTACACCATCAATTCCATGGCAGTATGGATTTTGAGGGTTTCCATTCTAATGAAAACAAGAGATGATTAATCACTATATGTAATTATAAAGTAAAAGTTATGTAGGCTAATGAACAGTACCCGGTGTACATTTTTAAAAGGTCAAGACCTAAGCATTCTATGATCTATTGAGAGATTTTACTACAAATGCCCAGTGTATATCCTACATCTGCTTGTGAGTGTTAACTGCTGAGGTAAGGAAGTTCTACCAGCCTTAACAGCCTGAATCAACATAAACACCAGCCTTGGTGTAATTAAATACTCCTTCATACATACAACGGTAACAGCCATTCCCCTGGGTGGATTTAAGGTACGAATTACAGGTCAGATGTACAACTGGAAGCATGTTTACAAGCACAGTTCAGGCTCAATGATTTGTTCTTTTAAAAATGTGGGAAAAAAAGAAATGGTAGTCAGACCCTGAGGTTCATATGCTTATAGGAGTGTAAGGTAAACAACAAACTTTTCATTGTTTTTGCCTCATATTTCTGATTTGAAAAACTTATTTTTGACCTGGTATAAAGAAATGAAGAAAGGAATTTTCTCTTTGAGAGTCCGTGAAATGGCTGGTACTATAAATTCCTAGAGTAGGCATTTTACTACGTATCTCTGTAATGACTCTTTAATGAGGATAACTATTTACAGATAGTAATGCATACATAAAAGCTGAATTACAGACCAATGTCAGGCCAGGCAAATTATCTATGTAAGGTTTCAAAATCTTTCAAATCATCCTACCCTCCTTCATATGCCAACTCCTCAATGGCCTAGTGTGCTAGTACCTCATTCTGAGGTAAAGTATACTTGCCTGAGCATCTAGAAAACCAAAGGGGGTTTTTCACATAATTTGTCCCAAACATTTAAAGAGAGAGCTGAAAACATTGCTTAGCATTGTGTGGGAGACACCTATAGATGCTTATATATGGAGGAAGGAAATACACATGCACATATATATATATATGTGTGGTGCTTTTTCTTCTATAAAGGTATCACAATGAATCATAAATTAACTGAATTATAGAAAGATCCTTAAAACTGAAAGATGTATCAATATATTTGAATTTGCTATACAAAGTCTGCAATTTAAATGAGTATTTGCAATTGCACCTGTTTTAAACTATTATCTATGTGGAAAATCTTTCCCTGAGGCAAGGTACGTAGCAGTCTTTTGCAGCATAGGCTGACAGAAGAAATACACATCTACAGTCACCAATCTTCTGCCATATCTTTGATGGTATCTGATTAGAACTCCCCTGATATACTGACATTTGCTGTAATTCTGACAACTTTATCCTACTCTGAGAAGAACAAAAACCTCAAAATAAGCAAGTAGATAAAATATCAACACTAATCACAAGCATCAGTTATACCAGATCAACGTTTCTGGCAAATCCTGGTAGATTTTAGGTTTGCAATTTTACTGACCCATAGACCAATCTCAGATTTGTTCTCATCAAATCATCTTTTAGTACACTTAGATATCTCTATGTCTCTGAACTAGCAGTCTGTAAAGTTAGAGATCCCAGAAAATGAGACAAATAATAAGAATAATAATGAAATATTATCTTGGAATATGACTTGTTTGCTTCTTTAGAGAGATGAGCTTTAGTCTGAAGTCTTTAAAGCATCTGTTTCTCAAGCTTCTACAGCTGAGGTTAAAGATTATTACTTTTCTTTATTACAGTTTTTGGCCTACAGGGACTTCTTGACTCCAGATTTCTCTCCATAACTTCAAGTGAAGTAATATCACCATGATGAAAAGTTTGGAAACAACTATTTATAGTCAGCATAGAAGACTTAGCACATTCCCCGTTCGTTACTTGTCCAGTAACTACTTAAGATTAGAACCTTAACTCCAAAAATTCTGCTGTAGTAGAGGAATTTTAAAAATATATATTTATTTACTTACCAGTGCAAATTCATGTGATACTCTTCCATCTGGAGGCAATCTAGCCCCAAAACCTAGAGCTGGGAACATTTTATCACTATCATAGTCCTGAATTATTTCACCAACAGCTCTTAGTGCCATGCCGTAAGCATTCAGCTGATAGGGATTCATGTAGTGCAGTGAAGTTGGCTGTGAAGGGTTACCTGTTGAAGCAAGGATCAGATTAACTTCAAAATGGAATCACTTCAGAATTTTTTTCTCTTAGAAAATCAGAAGTTGCATCAGGTAAAAATGCAGTGTTCTGAAAAAATTTTAAAAGCAGTAGTTTTTTAGTAGCTCTAAATATGTATTAGCAGAAGTAGCTGCATTTCAGCATTGAAAGGGCAGCAAGAAACTTGTAGATTTGTGCAATTTATACACTTTAAAAGATAAAATTTACAAAGATACTATGACATTTTGAAATCTTTGGAGAGGATCACAACTTATCTTTGCTTCACTCTACTTCAGCCTCACTCTACCTGGAACTATTTGGCCCTTCTTAATGGGTTCTTCTAAGTTTTCTCTCAGCAGTTATAAAAAAACTATCATCATCATCATCGTCATAAACCTACACGCATTACTACACATACTACAGATATTTGAAAGCTGCTTCTGATTATTAAATTTTATCTGTAGCTTTTCAAACTTTTATCTGTTCTGTTTGTCCTGCATTCCTGCATAGGAATTGACCTCCTTTCTGTTGCTCACCAAAATGGAATCCTGAGTCCAGGTGGTGCCAGCTGAATACTGTTACAAACACACACATATGTACACTTAAAACTGAACACAGCACAAACACACACAAGCTGTTTATTTTTATTCTTACCATTGGAGGCTGTGAAATCAATAGCGACTGTGAAATTGATTTGGGTTCTGCAGAAAAAGCAAACACAAATCTTATTAGTTGTACTGCTATGCAGAAAAATAAACAAGAGATGGTAACATCATTTGTGGACAAACTGTAGGACACTGACTTTCTAGTAGAGGAAATAAACACTGAAAATACACTTATATCAGGTTCAAGTCAAGGGCTACACAACACTAACTTATTAACATGCTGAAAACAGTTACTTGACTCCATCATTTTTTTTTCACTTTTTTTTTTTTTAAAAAAAAACTAAATAATTAGTAAGAACTTCCATAAATATTATTAATTAATCTTAACAGTAATACTGATTTTTCCTTGGACATATTTTAATCCTGATCATGCAAGATGTCCTCTCTCAGCTGAGGTGGAATACCCAAACAGAGCAATGCACCTTATGGATTCAGTGTTGCATAGATCACTAATACTTTAATTTAGTTGATATAGAAATACTTGATCTCCTTGAAAGTGGACAGGTGATTTTATTTGCCCTATACTCCTATATATAGCACAAGAAATTAAGAAAATATCTTAAAAGGAACAGTAGTCCTCACCTCACAGCCACAGAGAGAGCAAAGTGAAACCTGTCATCTTTTAATATGAATTCCATCAGTTCTGACATATATAAGGGAAAAAATTAAGCCCGAATGTAGTTTTTGACTAGGCTCGATTTCAGTTTTTTAAACAGTACACTGGAAGGAATCATGGACTTCTCCCTGTGGCTTCAGAATGACAACTAGCTGGTCTGTCAGCAGGGGGGAGCAGCTGAAGGTTTGAGGACCACTTACTGCACAGAACTCTACACCAGAGCTGTCAGAGTAACTAATTCTACCAAGAGGCTGCATCCTCTCCATGGTATCTAAACCCCCAATGCCACTTACAATTTCCCCTTTGCACAGGCTTGTAGAGTCAAATGCTGCTACAGCATGACAAAGATTTTTCAGATAAAGTCTCTTCAATATCTTCCTCTTACATAGTTTTATTACTCCTTGATAGTCTCCAAGGATACAAGAAACACATGGCAAAGCTTCCAAAATACCTAGCTATGGCAGCCTCCTGTGAACAGCAAATATGCCTCCCATTACTGTGGATAGTGTACTACCCGGATTAAAACAGCTTTCATGAAAGGAGATCTGAATTTCCCTTTGACCATCAATGATTCAATATAGTTCAGTTAAAAATATTTGTCTAAATCCTTGTGAATCCAAAAAGTGTATGGGTGTTCTTTTCTAAAGACCTGGATGAAGGTAAGGCTTTTAACATGATGCAGGAAAACATTTCTTCTATCTTCCACTAATCTAGGACAGAAGAGATGACAAGATATTTCAGTTGCAAAAGGAGTCAGCTCCTGAATTTTACTGATTTACAAATAACTATCTCACTACCTTTTCCAATAAGCCAAACAGGCTAGAAACTTCTGCACAGAAATGTCTTTTCCACAAAATCTTGGAGCTTTGTGGCTTCTGGTCTTTCTTCCAGACAAAAAAAAAAAGAGTAGATGCTAAACTAGGTTTGACAGTCATTTCTGTAAGTCCAATTGCATTTCTTTCCAAGACTGTATCCCTTACACTGCTGAATTTATTCACATGTTTGGAGGTGTTCTGATAGCACTATGTTACTAGCTGGGGCTGTATGAAGTGGCAGGAGAAATGTGATTTTGAAATACACATTATTTTTAGCACAATGTACTTACTTTAAATGTGGGAAGGTCAGTGTGGCCAAACATGATTAACTATCAAGATGTAAGGAAAAGCCAGCTATTAAGATGGCACTATTTGATGTAATATTCAGATGCAAAAGAGACATTCTCCTCTTTCTGCCATACTGCTCTAAATTCCAGTCTTATGGAGTAAAATGGAAGTCTGAGTTTATGGACAAACCTCTATTATATTCTCCAAAGTTCTTTAAGAAAACAACAGTCATATAGATGATACTGGTAATGGAATATCCAATTAAACATATGCAAACTCAAAACATAAATGAAATCAATACTGTAATCAAAATTTGTTAAAGCTGCCAAGATTTCCATGACATCTTCATTAATTCTAAACACCTCAAATGAATTACAGTGAAAGTTTTGAACATGAAGTATTTTATAAGCACCCATTTATAGAAGAGCAAATATGCAAATGTGCCTATTGCAGAATCATTGCTTTCTACCTCTTGCCTATAAAAATGGAAGAAAAACAGGGAACTTAAACCAAATTTTGGAGGACATGATGGGAAAACAGACTGATTAATGACAGAATCTTCTCTTTCCCCTTCCTTCAAATATTTGTCAACTGGACTTTAACTGATATGTAGCAATATTAAATGAGACAAACAAATGAAGGAAGAAGCCGAGAAAATAACTCTGAATCTGAGCCTCCTTGTCATGTTTACATAACTACATATGTTGCAGAAAGACAGGTAAGATTTTATACAAGTACTTCTACAGTTTTCACTAGCATGCATCACTAAAAAAGATTCTATATAAAATGATTAATTAAACATGAAGCATTCTACTAATTATATTATCTTTTTTGTAAAAATAGCAGAAAAAAGTTTAAGTGGAATTTATTAATATCCCAAGTCTTCATTGACTTGCAGTTAATAAGATATATACAAAATATCAATATGAACAATACAATATTATTGTATTCAGAATTTATTCAATTTTTCTTAAGAATGTAGATAATTAGGTTTATTAACTTGTATTGTAACATCTCAACAAGGAATGTGATAGACCATCCTGAAAAGATTACATAAGCAGCCCCTGCATAATTTTCTTCTCAAATGTAGACATAAACCTCAATTCCTTAGTTCCTTATACCTGCTCTTTCTGTCTAGATGAATTCTGAATGAATGGGGAATAGGACAGTCATGGAATATTTGTACAACACACTCCATAGCAAACAGCTGCACTATTTCTTCATGCATTTGTGTATACACAGACTTCAGTCAATATAAATTTCTGGTAAATGGATGGATGGTCATTTTCATCTTCTGTCAAAGTCCACAAAAGGAATGTAGGACTGCCACTGTTGGGTCCAAAGGCAAAGCCCTGCATAGCTACTGTCAAAACACAGCACAGACTTCTTTTTCATTTCCACTGAACTCTGGCTGAAGACTTGGAAAAAATCCCCAAAAAACTGAACCTGCCTCTTCACAGGTAATCAATGCTCTAAAAAACATGTAGAATGTATATTCAGACTTTATGCCCAAAAAATAAGTGCCTAGTAATGCATAACAAATTTTCATTTATTTTAGAGAAGTTCTGGCAGGGATGTTAAGAGCCAGGAATTTTTCAGATTTAGTCCCATTTCCCAGCATGTTCTAGGGTAAGACATTTGACACTTTTGTCTTCTCTTTAGAAAAAAAATGACAATAAATGAGAAATCAAATGTGTTAAAAATGTTGATTAGTACTGGAAAAATGCCTTTGAAGGGGAAAAGCTCTAAATAAATGCCAATATTAAATACACCAAAGCTCAGTATAATCAGAAGAAATAGACAGCATTTTAATAATTTAATAATATATGGACAATTCCCTTTTGTTTAATCAAATTTCCTCTGGCTGATCAGAGGTCACTCTTTCTCAGTGCTTTAATATCAACTCCAATTCCAATACTTGCTCTGTATAGCAAGTTCAACAGTATAAGCAAAGTTCCATTACTTAATTTAGTTACTATCTGCATCCTTTATGTAGGAAAGTACAGCCCCTAAAATGAGGAAATAATACAGCTCCTTACATATGCTACAGAGAGCCACAAACAAATTGTGAAAACAAGAAAGATTTGTTGCTAATCACATACCCGCCTTTAATATAGTCAAGGAATGAAACTTCTGTTTCAATTAGGAAGGAAAGCAATGTTACCTGAAAGCAAATAAAAGAGAGTCAGACATGAATTGTGTGTTTCCCAGTTGAACAAGTAGAGACATAAGCACAATGTTTTTCGAGCTCTGTCCTTAGGACGTAATTTCCTACAGTATTAAGGGAAAAAAGAAGATTAAAAAAGATATTAAATAATTTTAGTAGGCAGCTCTTGAAAGGGAAGAGACAGATTGAGAAGTCTGTAACTGCCTTCTTTTTTCCTGTTTAAGGAGAAGGTAAGGGACGGAAGATTGTATTCCAAAGCAGGTTATCACATACATATTTTCTGAGTTCTGCATACTACACCTATAATTGAATAATATTACAGGGTATATGATAATGCATCTATTCTATGAGCACTTTAACACTATTTAAAGAACACAATTATTTATGTAATTACTCATCTCACACTAAAGGTGGTATTGAGTATTAATACAAGCCTAGAATGCAAAAATCTAGTAAAGTACACAGGTATAGGAAATATATAAAAAAGTTTGAAAGTAGTATGTATATATGTATGTACATATGTATGTATGTATGTATATATATATGTATATACACACACATATCTATATATATAAAAATGCAAAGGTAAGAAATCTCAGCATTTGCAGATTTTATCATTCAGAAATGACAAAGATCCGTAACACAGAGTAATCTAAAGGCATTACTGGCATTTTCAGCAATCAAGTTACAGAGGAATAAACTCAAGTAGAAAAGATCCAGCATTTAAGATCTTCAAATATTGTGCAATATTTATGAAGCAAATTAAAATTAATTTAATTTTATTTACTCAAATTCTCTCATTATGTAAGTGCAGTGGGCAGTCAGTGAAAACTGCTTAAGTAACTACTCAGAGCAAATCCACGAATAAAGATACAAGGAATAAAAAGGGAATGGAAGTCTGTCACAATATTTTGTGTGCAATTACAGCAAAATATAAAAAATGAAAATAATCCTATGTTGTAAACTTAGAATGAGATTACAGGGAGTAATTCTGTCTTCTATCCAACTTCCTTTGTCACAGTTCTGTGTGACTGAGTGATTAGCTAAGATTAAAATCACCAAATGACCCTTCTAGCTGAGAACAGAAGACCGTAATAGTGTTCTATCAGGCTATCAGGAGCATAGCCTTGCAAAAAAGACCAAAATTTTATTCATTTTCCCACTGGACACAGTAATATTAATGGTTGATCTTTTCTTACAGCTGGCTATCTTGTTCATAATTAATTTAAGGAAGTATTTTCCCTGCATCTGATTTTAGAAGTTCCAAAATGTATGGAAACAACTCCTAAAGTAGCTGAATTATTTACTTACATATAGACAATGACTACCAATGCTTCAAGCTTTATGCAGTGAATTTTTTATTTCACTCCTAGGCTTTGTTTAAAACTAACCATGTATTCTGAAACACTTCTGTCTAGTATGTAATTTGACTATCTGAATTTAAAATGACCCCTTAAGTAATAATAAATTGAGATGTGCACTGTATGTACATAGACCTTAAATGCAGTAGTGTGACAGCTGTCAATGATTTATGTCCACTGTAAGTTCTCCAGAACTCTACCTCCTATTAATGAAAATTACGGTTGAAAATTTAAAAATTTGTGGAATAAAGAATATCTTGGGTAAATGATGAGGACAAGAAAAACACAACTGCAGGCAAACACATAAAGTGACCATGTGGAGAAGCAGAAGGGAAGCCTGAAGGACTAATAGAAGTAAGGGCAAACGGGGACAGAGATGACTTGATATCAAAAAGAATTTACAAGACTAACAGAATAGAAGGAAAAAGAAAAGGCAAAGAAGGAAAAAGAAAAAATATATTAACTGTTTATTGGAAATTTTAATGTAATTGGAAGTAAAGAACAACTAGACAGTTGATTTTGCCTGCTCAAACATAAGTAAAATATATTTTTTCAAATGCAGACAGATACTTGTGAAGGTGTATTAAAATGAAAGTATTTTAAACAAAAAATTAATATGAAAATTGAATGTGAAAATAAATTTTTTGCCATTAAGTATTCTAAGCCAGATTTCATAACTAAAATTTTGAGCATACTTTTAGCACTGGTTGAAAACAACCACTTTACCTAAGTTTCTCACTCACTAATTCAATGCAATAGAACTTGATTTTAACATGATAGATTTTAGTAAAAGGAATATGTTAGCAAAGAATAAATTACCTAATGAATTAGATATTGTATAGCCAATTTTAACAGACAAGCGACTTCTGCCAATTTTTCATAATTTAAAGCAAAGGTAGAAAAATAAGTGTTTATTTTCTCACTGATAAACAGACTTAGAAAAGAATGTGAAAATGTCGAAATATTCCTTCAAGGCTACTTTTCAGCATGAAAGTAGCCCTTCCTTCAGTGGAACTGTTCATGTGGAAAAAACCCACATGGTGGACGTGTTTACAAAAAACATCTGTTATAACTGATTAGGTTTTCCAATATACCAATCCTCAATATTTATCTTCACTTTTTTGTAAATGATGTTCTGAACACCATGGATGCCAGGCCATCAAAGCTGAGCAACTGCTGAAAGGAAATACTTGAATTGCTATCAAATGGTTCATACATATGAGAACAGAATATGGAATGCAAACAAAATAAGAGAAATTCTCATCCCAAACAATACTAACAGATCTTTCAAAAATAAATCTACAGAAAACCTGTTGGTAAAAAAAATTGTTGACTCTTTTTGATTTAGCTGTGGTAAGCATACTAGCTTTTAATGATGCTAGCTCAGCAGATAAACTTAAAATAAAATTTATTTTAAAAGTGCAGGTCTATTTCAGATAAAAATTAGTAAGTGTTCAGACCAATAGTTTCAATTATTTGATGGAAATTTTGGTAGAGCTTATTTTGAAAACCACTGGTGACTTGAGAGCACACTTGGACAAATTTTATATCAAACTCTTCAAATTAAAAAAATAACCAAAAATAAGTGCTGTGTAAAGGTAAATAGCTTATTGTGGCCTTGACAGAAAGCTCTACTCTAATCCTGTTAAATTACGAGTCAACTACACTCTGTTTGAAGCAAGAAGCATCCAGTAATATAAAATACATTTACTTACTGTTCCAGAATTAACATACTTTTTCTTTTTTCCTTTTTTCTTTGGATTTATTACCTAGAAACAGATACAAATATTAAAGCAGCATGATCCAACATAAAGGTAAGTGCAAGGTATCTTCAATGCAGAAAGTACTCTATTTTCAATGCATTCTAAGTGCATTCAGCATCCTGTTTACGGATGCATCTCGACGCTGGAGGCATGCTGAAAAACAGTGAATTTATCTTTATGGTACTTGTCAGGTGAGCCAGTGCTGGTACTCATATTTGACAAATAAGGGATGGGGACAACAGAGGTGAGAATGTTCATTAAATCTGAGAGCTCAGTGAAACACTCTGAATTTTCACAAGATTCTGCATTTTTCTGCATTCCTGATCGCACTGTTTCAGTGTACGGTGTCACTACTTTGTCATCTCACAATGCATCTCTTCACAATCCAGTTAATCAGCTCACATCTGCTCTTCATAGCACCTGAGAAACATGAGAGTTTTTCTACTCCCAAGTTCTTTACTTGGTGACAGGATCTGGCTGACAGGAAGATCTAATTTCATGAAATAGGTAATTTCATGAAAATGTTGAAGATCACCACCTGACTGGCATACAGGAGTGGAGGGGGAGGGCTCAGTGCACTCCTCATACCCAAGAATCTTCACGGAGCTGGACTACAAAGCATTAAACAGTTTTCTTGAATGTCTGGAACCCACACATATAAAATTACTCACTGTAGCCACCAATACAAGTTTTTCCCTTTTTAATACCTACAAAAGGCAAGTCTCGTTACTTCTGTTACATATACATGAAAACGTATTCCTGCTTTTCCAGAAATGCACATGGAATTGGAAGCAAAACATTATTTTGTTAATTAGGTCATTCAACTCTCTCCTATTTATTTAGGAAATTCAATGCCTTATGGCTTACTGCCAAGTTTTACTGTAAACTATTCACAGATGTTCTGCAAATTATAAGGAACGGAAACATTCCCAATTGAAATCTTAGTCACTTATCTAGTATAAAATATTTGAAGAATTATGCCTGAAAATGGGCAAACTAGTAATATGTGTCTTCCAAAGATTTTCACCCCAACCAAAATGGAATTACATTTAAAGATTCTATTCCTTGCACAACACAGAACACCTGTGAAATGTAAGGCAGGAAGAGACAACTATGATTTGAGGTCTTCCCAAACAGGCTAAACATGTGACTCAGTCTTTCCCCCCAGTATGCCACACTGATGTTATACAGTAAATATTCTGCAATGCTTTTACTCTACATGCATGTAAGTCCATTAACACTTAAAAAATCCCAAGTAACTCCTGCCCCTCAATTTAACAGTGTCTGATGAGCAATAGATTAAACCTGTGTAATGGTGGTAATTAAACAATGCAGCAATTCTTGTTGAAGCAAAATCTTAGCCAGAAAGTGACTCCTGCTGACATTTGCCCAGAGAGGAAGATGAAGGTAACAGGCTGCCTGTCTGCCCTGTGGCAGTTCATTCACTGCTCTCCAGAATTCAACGGTCAGGCCTGAATTAGCAGCATATTGCTTGCTAGCAGTCATTAAATGCCAAAGAGAAGATTCATTTGAACTTTCTGCTTCAGGTAACTTGACAATTGGCTTCTTAGGAATCACAAGGAACTGCACTAGAGCTTGGAGTGAAATATCATGGGAAACAAGACAGCTAATTGGGAGCAAAGATGAATCAAATGACAGATTGTTTCACTCCTGTAATTCATAGTACTATAATTACTATAGTATTTACATGTGGGTTTTTTTCAAATTTCAGATAACTTTAGAAATTAAACAACACTTCAGCCTCTGAAAGTTTTACATCCCTGCAGGAACCTAGAAAGCTATATGAATTATAATGAACCTGTTAAAAAAAGCTCAGTTGCAAAGAGATGGTTCTAGCAAGGTTCCTAATATTTAAATATGGCACAGTCACTCAAACTTCTCTACCTGCCTTAGTTAGATTTGTAAAAGCAAAACATTTTTAAAAAAGAATTAGCCCAGTATCTTTTGTTCTGATACTGTACAGCTTAATCAAGTGAAGCAGTACTGAAGTATGGAGGATTACAGTGTGGGGAGACAAACATGAGCTGCTCAAGAAATGCATGCTGTGGCTGGGAGTATGATACTGGCACTAATTTAAGAAACTGAAAAATTACTTAAGATGTTATGACAGAATATTCCTGGTAGGGTAGGATTCATGTCAGTGATACAACAGGAGAGATTTTCACTGCACACAGTAATCTGTGTTATGACACTATTCACACGAAACTACTGCAACTTACTGTAACTCTGGGGCTCATCTTGGATCTAAATAAGAAAAAGAACCCATGGCTTTCAGTTATCTTTGTCCTGCTCTGCACAGCAACACCTTTGCACATCTTCAAAACAAAGTACAGCACATAATTGGAGTACCCTCCTTCCCTGCCTTCTTTAGTGCTTACCTAAACCATTATATTTGTTACCATCTATTATTAGGACTATGAAAGTACTGGTTTAATGGCAGTAGTCTGAGACCAATTAAAGGATACCTTAAGGAATAGCAAAGATCAGCACACCATACAGAAGCAAAAAAAGAGGATTATAGCCACACAGGCTTGTCTTCTCATTAGTGGCAATAACAGCTTTCCATTGTTTTCAGTATTTTTCATTGTTGTTTTCTCATTTATTTCCTGAGAGTGAGTAAATACTCATAATACTTACCTCATAAACATTGAACTGAGATTGCCCTCTCGACAACTCTCTGTAACTTGTTGTGAATTCTCCAATGAAATCATGGCTGTTTGAAAAATAATATTTTAAATCAAATGCAAAACACTTAGGAATTTAAACATGTATTTTAACAATTAATGCAAAAGAGACACACAGCCAATACGAACTGACGCCCAAAAAACAAGTAATGGCAACAGATATAATTTGCTTAAAAATCTTTATTACTCTCTCCATTTTGTGTTCATCCTATTAGTAATGCAAATTTAGAGTTGGAAAGTATTAGCTTAAATATTTTTGATGGCTTTTGCTTAATTTACCAACAGTGAGGACTGTGTTGTAAATCAGTGCTTTACCCCAGTATAAGTTTACAGAATCTGAAAAAACAGAGTGGGCTACCAAAGACTCTCACCATTTCCTCAGTGGATGACCACTGGCACTACAATGTCTGAACTGTGTATAAGACTATGTAAGAGAAAGGGAGTTTCTAAAAGCATGAAAGGAGCAACTTAAACCAGAAAAGACCATGCCTCCCAATCTGTGTAAAATGACATTGGACTCTTAAGGGGAAGACCCAAAGCTTATTTCAGCTCCTCTGTCTTCCCATCTGGGAAGAGAAAAACAATTCACAGAGGCTACTCAGCTTATGGTATTACTGGAAAGCAGTGGTTATCAAGCTTCTCCTTTCTAAATTCTATTCCTGCTCCAAGAACACATTTGGCACTCCTGTGCTGTTCATGTTTTAAAAACTGCTTTGTCAATGCATAACAGGGCTGGCACATTTACAAGGAGCCTGTGAGCACAGCAGAGAGCTGTAGTGGGGAAGCACTGCTGAGGAAGGTGCCAGGGTCAGGGAACTGGGGCACAGAAACCACAGCCAGAGCTGCAGGTTTGTATCTCAGGCAGGTGCCAGAATGGAAGGACTGCAGGAGTCAGTCTCCCAGCTATCAACTACACAGTTCCCAGCAGTCACAAGTTCTGCTCCCATTCTCTGCTCTGCCCAACTGAACCTTCCCCCCACTGCTGCTCCAGATTTTCCCAGCTGTGCCCTAAGAAGGCATTGTGTTTCCTCTACACTCTGCCTCCACATCTGGTGAGCTATGAAGCTAACTGTTTTACCTTCCCTCCAACGGTAAACTACAATAGAAATTCAGTTTTATGACTTTGTGACTTGCAAAACTTGCTTTTAAGAAATTCAGTACACCTCTTGTTAAGCTGTAAATATTAAAAGCAAATTTAAGTAAATCTGAGTGTTGCAAGATGAAAAATGGAAACAATCCGTAGTAAGATGAAATTTCTTTCTTGCTTTATTCATAATGAAAGTAAACAAAAAAGAAGCTCAAACATAAATCTCATTTTCTGACATCAGCATGAATTCACAAAGCATGTAAATCAAATAACTAAAAGGTTCATCATCATGGCAATACAAAATAAGCAAAACATACTGTAAGAAAACTTGAGAAATACTGTATGTTAAAGATATTCCTCATTACCCAGATTCAGAAGGGACCACCTCAAATGAAACACTCCCCTTTCAGCTGGGAGATCATCAAATTGCTTCCAAAACAAAGACTTTTCTTAAGAAATATATTTTGAAGTTATATCTCTGCTTAAACTCTCTCCAGACTGCAGGGCCTATTTAAGCAGGGAACAGAGGAAGCCATCCACAAGGTGTATTTAACCTTGGATAACCATGGCACTGGAGAAAAAGATATATTGCTTAAAATGGAACTTTTCCCTTTTGTAACAGTTCAAACCTTTTATTTTCAGATCAAGTTGTATATTCTGATGGCAGAAATTCAAACAATAGCTCAATGACTACATACAAACATGCTGCAGCAAACAAGAAACATGACCCATTCCAGACAGCATCGTCTCTGGGGAGCAAAAAAATCTGTATTGCTTAAAAGTAATTGCTCCTTTAATTCTAAGAGACACTGGAAAGCCTCCTTTCCCTATGGCTATATACAAACACTGACAAGACCTGAGCTAGAAAGATATGATTACTCTGATGAATAATGTTAAAAAGGCATGGGCATACACAGCCAGTCTCAGAGCCCTCTGCACTTAAAAGAGCATCAAACTGGACCTTTACACCTGGTATTCAGGTAGATGCACATGCCAGCACTAGGCTGCCTCTGAAGGCTCAGTGCCTGCTGGAGTCTTTTCCAGGTGTGTAAGTCATTAAAATGAAGTATTAATAATTTACATATTATATAAATTATATAAATAATAATTTATATATTATAATAGATAATAATAAAATAAAATATTCTAATATTAATCATCACTCTTTAGCAAATAGATCTCCTCATTAGTCTCTGGACTGAGAATCCAAAGTACTTATTCTCTTTGCCTGCCTAACACCAAATTTTCCTAGACTTACAGACTCATTCATGAGCAGCATATCAGAACACTGAACCAGAGAGTCTTAGCACACAGAACTATCATTTAAAGCCCATCTCCCTAAGTTTTCAGCTTTTAGCCCTGTATTTTGAAGTGCTGAAAATCACTTTTGAAATTGTATTAACTTTGAATTTTTTTTATTATCTAAAGGAAAAAAATTACAGAGGAAAGGTCAGTCATAATCAGAAGCATGTCAACAGGTAAAGAGAAAATGCAAGAATTTAAAAATCTACTATCTGGAGAAGCAAGATGAAGGACAAAAAAGTAAGGTGGAAGAGTTTAGAATCTGAAATTTAAAAGTGCTCCTGCAGTATTCTCAGATGAATGTTTATGTGACCTCAGGTTAGCATGACAATATTTACAGCTTTATAACTCAGCACCTCCCCCCATTTTTTGTGTAACAGATCGTAAACATCAAGACTGTGAAATGATTTTTGCAACACATATGCTAAGTGATATTTTTTCTAAAATTAAATTAAAAAGCCTTCAGAGAGAACTAAAAACATCATAGTATTGTTGATGTGAAGTTATGCAATGTCTTGTTTTTTTCCTTCTGTTAGACCTGTCTGCAAGTGCTTCATATATAAGGATATACAATAAAAAAACCCTAAAAATGTGACTGTCAAACAACTGGGCTTGTCCCAGGTAACAAAACCAAGTTTTGTGACTTCTTATAGCATCAAATATTTTGGGGTTTGTCACAGCTCTTAGAAGCAATAAAAGTTATCAGAACAAGTTGTTCACATGTTGACAATTTTTGTGCAAAATCTAGTCTGACACAAAGAGATGTTTTATACATAATTGTGTTAATGTTACCAAGTGCAAGTATTGCTTTTTGTCAAGAAGTTTTATGTGATATTTGAAAATATGTAAGAGCTATTTGATGATGATAATATGATCATGATATTACATTACAATTACTCTAACAACCTAATGTAGGAACATGAAGGAAGCTGAACACAAAGCACCATGGTGGTATTTTTCAAAGCACAAGTAACACAGAATGGGGAAAAGGAAAAAAAAACTTCATAGTCAAGACTCAAGTCAATTCATGATTCAGAAATCAAGTATATGCACTATAATTTTGCCTTCCTGATTGCAGAACAGCCTGTAATATTCAGAATAACTTGCTTTGATACCTAGAGAGCAGGCAATCTTTCAAAGATTGGTCCTGCCCCATCTGTATATTTTGGGATCAAACAGATTCAGCGTGGTGAGGTGTCTAGCTGGCGTAACAACAGCTTATAAAAACTGTCCATCACAAATGGAAATTAATATAAACTGAGGAACAGTAGAGTTGTACAAAAAATCATTAAACTCTTGAATGGGATTAATTTCAGATATACTTGGCAATGTCAAAGTTAAATTAGGCACTTAGGTTTTGCTATCATCACTATGTAAGTTTATAGGCACCACCAACTGGCACTTTACTCCAGGTAGGATGGATTCAATCAGACCATTCTCCCCTGTAAGCCACTGAAGTAGCTTAAATGATTAGTTCAATCTACTTGTCTGATTTTTGCATTGTCTACAGTCACATGAGATGAGTGCTGTCTCTTCTTTCAGAGGAATTTTCCATATAAGATTTCAGTGCTCAGTATGTTCTATACTCAGACAGAAATCAAAAAGAAAAAAAAATCATACCATTAGAATAAAAAGGAAAACGTAAATGGTCCTTCACTTTTTGTTTTTTAGATATTAATTTTACAGGTATTTAGATTGTGGTGTCAGCAAACACAGATAGTATTTGGAACTATTTGGGACTGGAGAGGCTAATTGCCTAAAATCTACAGCATGTTCAAGATTTCACTCAGACTTGCAGTTACTTAGTGTTAGTTGTCAGATTTCTTCCTTTTCTTTCTACTCTTACAGACATTGGATAAAGTGATAGCATGAGGGGTTTGATACCTTGATAAAAGATAATCCTTATTTTTTATCAACTTGGCAATACAATTTAACTTTTCACTGCTAGCTTATTTTCAAAAAATGTGGTTTATACACAAATACATAAAATTTTTAAGGATTTGCCAAATCTCATTGAGAAAAGAATGTTAATAGAAATTCTAACTAGGATGCAATGACTTTTTGCTACTATGGCTTTTAAAATTGAAATACACTTATTTTAATTGCTAGAATGTGTTATTTTGTCTCTCCAGGGAACATCTGATCAAGAAGGATGAATTTATACTGGCAGGTATTCACAGAGGGTAAATGTGAGAGAAGAATGCTCAATAATCAACAGGCTTCATGATGGAAAATCAAAAAGACAAAATTACAATCCAAGAAAGCTAAATAGGCTTTTGGGTCTTGTCAGCAAGGAAATGAACAGTAGCACAAGATAAATTTGCCTATTATGATTACAAGACATGTTGCCACAGAAGCACAATATCATTATCTATAATACTAGAAGCAAACTGCATTGGTAGTATTAAAGAAATTACTATGGAATAAATAATATGCTTTTAAAAATCAAAATGCAAGTGAATTTTCATATATTTTAAAATCTAAATTAAGATTAATAGGAAATAATTAAGACAAACCAGCTTAAAGATAAATGGAAATAAACATATTATGGTATTACATTTCAGTTCTAGTACCAAGACTTATGAATACAGTTTCTAATCAAAGTATTAAGATATAAGCTCAAACATTTTTAAAAGAACAAGACGTACTTGTCCCCGTGTTAAAACATAATTCTACCTTGTCAAAATAAAGGCAATTTGAAAGGCTCATTTCTTCAAAGAAAAATGTACAGCCAGTACACTGGGGTTTACAGCTCTTTAGAAAAACAGATATCCTTCCTGAATTTAGCAACAGAAATCCCACGTATATTCCAGCGTCCTCTTTCAAGGGGAGTGATAGAAAACTCAGGTCTTCCAACTCCAGAGTTCACAATAATGTTTTGATGAAGACAGACACAGAAATGAACATTAACACCCCATCTGAAATTAAGGTAATTAATAGGTAGCTTCTGCATTGCAATATTTAGGTCACTATGAGCAGCCATTGCAGGGACATGCATTTTATCATGTTTCAGGGATGAATATACACACAGCAGGTTTGAAATAGCCTAATTCATCAGTATTCACCACAACTGCAAAACACAGAGCTGTATCACAGCAGGATTTCTCTCTAGTACCTGTACCTCTAAATACTGACAAATAACTAACTTTCTCTAATATTATGCTAATAATATTTCTAATATTTCTCTATTATGCTGGACACTAGAAACATTTATAAAATTTATATATACATTTATGAAGTGTATAAACATGCAGGATAAGGGATAACCCTTAAGTTAAACAGAAATAGTCTTACCTTCCATCTCTATCCCAGTCATACACTTCTACTTTAATTGTCCTAAAATGAAAAAAAACAAAACAACAACACAACCCCATTAAAATGTGAAGTATGTACCTGGATTGCTTTTAAGATTAACAGCATAGGGGTGCATCAGTTTTGCCAAATCCTAAAAGCAGAATTTTTCAGTCATTTCTCATGGGGCAGCGAATAGCCTGTCAGATAACACAACGCATCTTCATAAATCAATAGCTAAATACAGTGGAAACTAAGGAAACAAACACATTGGAAGTTTAACCAATATATTTTTACTTGCTGATGCTCTGAATTTTCTGTGGTTTTTTGAATAAAATGATTCTTTAAACCTTAAAGTATTATCAAAGTTTTTAAGAACTGTTTCCTTATGAGTAAAGTGAACCCTTGAGGGCAGCTCTAACCTTGCTTCAGGGATGACTGGGAAACAGATAAAAAGGAAAAAGCAGACATTTCCAGGGTAAAGATCAATTGTATTCCTTAAACCTCAAGGGTGGATTTCTTAAAATGAAAATACTACAGAGCATATTATCATCAACATCCTTGATGAAACAGGAAAGATATAAGAGGTTAGAGATAGTATGTAAGCTTATTCATCTCCTTTTACTACAGAAAGTATATATATGTAAGCAAATTCAACTGTCACTAACAGGAATCCTATTTGGCCTAAAATGAACTGAACACAGGACAGAAAAATAACACATCCAGACCTCCTGTATTTTAAGCAATAAGTTAGCCTACTTTTATTCTTCAGAACAGTTTCATGTGAAGTCATCAGGGCTGTCTTATTAATAGAGGGGACAAGAATCTAAGCAATTGCATTATAATTTGCTTCCCTGCAAGCTGATCCTCATTCTTCCAATCACATACAGTCAAATATATATTGATTAATTTTCTTTACTAAGAAGGGACTCTTCTGGGATAAAGCTGAGCAACAGCTGATATTATATACAATATAATATCAAGTAATTCACACCTGGATTATTCATTTTTTATGATATTCCAAAATAGGTAAAGGAGTTGCTTTGTCTGGATGGACCTCTTTTCAACTCAAATTTAAAGACTCCTAACCACACCATTTGTTATATTTTATAGCTCTTGCATAATTCAGGTTGGATTTAAGTAACCTTACAATGAAAACTGATTAAAATGGAAGTTGTTCTGCCAAACAAAATTAAAAAGAACTCCAAACCTTTTTTATCCCACCACGTATTTCAACCTTCAAAGGAAAGTAATTTCACCTTCAGATGAATTCAGCAAAAAAAAGGCACTATCACATTTTTTCCCCTAGACAATCATTATTTTACTGACGTTTGAAAACCTGTTGTAACAGACAGAACACACTACTAAGTTAAGATTTACATAAGGTTTAGTGGGATTTAAGTTTTGAATTGTCTTACAAATCTGTGTTCAAATAGCAAAATCATCTCAGTGAGAAAACTTGGATTATTAAAATAAATTATTAAGAATATCAAGATAAATTCCTGAGAAGGATCTTCAGACAGGTAACTGCAGTAAGAGCAATTCATCCTTGAATAAAGCTCCTCTCTACTGAAATTTATTTCATATTAAAGGATTAATTACAGATCTTGACTTTTATCTATTTTGCATGACATGCAAGATATTAAAAGACCTTTCCAATCTTCACATACTGAAACTTAACCTTTACCTTAAAGGACACAGTTTAGATGATAGGTTTCCTATTTTAGTATTAAAAAAAAAACACATTTCATTTAAAATAATCAAGGTTAGACATAGGTATCCATGTTTTAAATGAAAAGGTGGACACAGTTCATTCAGAAGCATGCATTAGCTGAAGATTTAGTCTCCACAACACCAGAATAAACATTTACTGTGACATGTTTCTGCTAATGATATTATTCCCACCTTTCACATCTATCACAGAACCCAGAGCAGCAAAATTTTATCTGTGAAACTATCACTATCTTAAAGAGACCTTTGGGGACTGTATTTTTATGCATTATCATGAGGATGTTAGCAAGTTAATCCTAACCTGTAGAAAGAAGGGTTTTCTAATTAAAAAACCTCAAACCTCCAAAGTTTTTCTGGACTATCAGCAGGTTAATTTAAATAACCGCTAATGACTACTTCTTAATTTGAAACGTGATTGTTGTATGCAGGGACTATGAAGTTTCATGGAGCCTTTATTCACTGAAATACACAGTATGTTGAAAGCAGATCAACAGCAGATACACAGTAATAATTTGAGGAGTGCTGTTGCACTTTTAAGTTCCCTTAATTTGGAATGCTGGAGTTATTTCAATATACCTGCACATCTTTTCTAATTATTATGAAAACGATTCTTTTAAAATATGATAAACAGTGTAGAGTCCAGAGACCAGCTTAATGAATACTATTTTGCTTATGCATTATGCACATTAACCCAATTACAAGTAAAAAATTCTGTCTGAATATGCTCATTACAAAATTGATTCATTTTTATTGCATCTAAGTGAAAGAGCAACCAACATGGCCATTTTTAAGAAGTCCAAAAACACCCATTTCCACTGAACTAATTTGCTCACACATGATTGTTTTTCATTGAAACATTAAAAAATACTTGTGTACACTTGTCACAGAGACCATGCTTTAAATTAGTCTTTTCTTTTTAATTCACACCAAAGAGAGCAAAGAATTTTTTCCAGAGACCATGCTTTAAATTAGTCTTTTCTTTTTAATTCACACCAAAGAGAGCAAAGAATTTTTTCCAGAAAACACCACTAGCATCTCCTACAGATTTAGCATATTTGCTTTTTTTTTCTAAATTGTCTAATGAGATGAACTGTTTTAAGCAGCTATTATCCTTCAAAATGTTGATTAGACAACACCAGGGCCTGGACTGCATAGAAAAAGTTACATACAAAAGAACACATGAGTTAGGGAGTAAAAAATTGTATATGCTAAAAAACTTTTAGCCACAGCTTACCGGTCATAGTCTCCATTACACAGTGCTCTGACAGAAATCTTGAATGCCTGCCACACTGGATTTAATGTATTTTTCACAACTTCTGTTTTGTGGCAGATTGTAAAACTGTAATTAAAACAAAAAATAAAGATTCATTCTGTATTTATTTACTTTTTCTTTTGTGTCATCAAAGATGGAATTAAAAGAGCTGTAATCATTCATACATACAATGTCCATATAAAATATAAGGTAAGAAAAAAAGAAATATGGTGAAATTGGAAGGAAGGAAAGACTGAAGAGAATCACTGGAGAGATATTATAGACTAGAGTGCTAAACAACTATCTAAATGTTTTTACCCAAAACATCAACAGCCACTTAACCATTCAGTGAGTATTTCAGGGAAGAGTAGTTTCCAACCCACTTGTTTAAACAGACCTTGTACATACAGGAATCAGTCACAGATCCAGAAAGAAAATTATCTTGTGAGGATCTAACTCTTGCTTAGATATCAAGAAACTGATCCAAGGGAATGGTGGCTTTCAGATTCTTATTCACCACTCTGTCCATGATTTTTTAACCAGGGCTGTCTTAGGTAAAACATATATGCCTCTTTGAGATTCTGGTATCACCATCACTCATGAGCTGTATTAGCACATTCTGCTTTCTCTAAATGATGCAAAATTAAAATACCTCTTTTGAACCCCCATCCTGGGGACTGAATCGTTCAAAAGAAAACAAGAGACAAGGTCACTGGTGAAATTATTACTGAAATTCCTCATCCAGTTGCAACTAAAGCTATCCTTTGAGGGAATGTCCTCCTTGTGCCCCAAATGCCTACACTTTTATCCTGGCTGTGATTCATAAGACATGACCAAAGCCAAAAAAATTAAAAAAGGAAGCATCCTTTTGCGACAGGTGCAGAAGTACTGCCCCAACATCTTGTTGGATTCAGGAGACCCATAAAGCATCAGTGGCTCAACACTCACCCCTTAGAAGGAAGAGGGCAAGAGAGGCTGCATGTACCAGCACTCCCAGTAATACCCACAGAAAGTCCACCAGTGACCTTAATGCCACTCACAAAGGAGCTGCAACTCCTCTAGGCTTGCAGTTTTACACAGGCAGTGTTTACTCTGGAAACTGTCCCTGTAATCTTCCTCCAAAAGAAAAAGAGCAGGTAACAGACACACACCCATACACAGATTTATGTCACTGGTTCCAGTTAAGCTACAGAAAAAAGTAGTATCATACATGTAGCCTTAGGTTTGATGTATGTTAGAAATGAGGACTTTCAGTTTCCAAGAAATCTTAACCTGCCAGTAGAGCCCCACAAAGGCAGAGTGTTGGGTTGATCATGGCATATCAAGGCTTAGCAGTGGAACAGAAGAGATTAGTCTACTTTAACAAATTAAAGCATGAATATAGCAAACAGCCATTCGTAAAAAATATAAATTCTATTTTGAGGATTTTAAAATTCAATTTCCTAGAACTCTGTCAAAAAGATAAAAGATATTTCCTAATTAAAATTTGCAGTATACAATGTTTTTATCTAACACAATTTCTAAGCAAGAACCTATTTTGCAGCTCCAATTTCCTTTGATAATTCAATTTAATTGGATACTATATCTTATAAAAAGCAGCACTGTTTAGCTATTTTATTACAATTAATTGTCATAGTGCTCTACATTTATGAGATGTGTACCTCTTAGAACCCTAAAGTGAAGTATTTGATCAATTTGTTTCAAGTTTTATTCCTGTACTGCACAACATGACAAACTGAAACCCAACAAACATTATAAAAGAAACACAGCTTAATCTGAAAAATATATAAAAAAAATTAAAAACTGTATTATCTGTAAATAATTGAGTAATGATTAGCAGCAAAAATACTCAACAGCACCTACCTGCCATCTTCATTGCTTCGATGAAATACAAGGAAAGGATCAGATTTCCCAAAGAAGTCTTTCTTGTCTAGCTTGTTTGCACAAAATTGCATTAGAACTGAATCCTGAAATCGGTAATAAAGAAAAATTACATACAACAAGCAGTCTACAACACTAAAAAAATAAATGGGAGTGTCTGTCTTCTGAATGCCCTCTACATATTCACATTTGTACAATGTCTTCATAGTGCAGTTTGAATGGCTGGAACCAAGAATTCCTTTGTAGGGACACGAGAAAAAGAACAATTTTCTAAGCTAAAATGGCTCGGGATTTTTCAAGGATTTCCTGACATCCAAAACTGTGTTCTGAAAGAAGTAGATGCACTGACAAGGAAATTAGATTAGAATTAATTTTAAAAACTCAAGTCAGACATGACTCAGTGTCATTCCTTCAGTGACTTAGACCTATTGTTGTTTGCTCCTATTGCCTGTCCAGAAAATGGCTGCTGGTTCTTAAGAATCTGGAACTTTCAAGAAAATGAGCCTGAATGGTTCATCCAATCTGACAACAAATAAGTAGAAAAGTTTCTTTGCTGTGATCAGGCAAACTGAAAGTCACAGAGGTCACACTTTGGGCAAAGTCAAGAATGAGAAAAGGCTTATAAATGCAAAGATAAACCTGCAGACTCACCAGCTAACTGAGGCAGGGCCTGCTGGAAGACTGTTCCATACACTGATCTGGAAATGCAATAGCAACGAGAGGAGGATGACAGTGTTGGCTCACCAGTGAGTGGGGCAGGGGACCAGGTGACAAAGGACTTTGAAGGTCCACGTTTCTTATAGCTTTCTATGTCTTGGTCTTACTGCTAAGATTTGCGTTCAAGACTCTTGGGAACCTGAGACCCAGACCTGAGAAAGTCTGGAACAAGGATAACTTGCACTTGGTAGAGGAGGACCAGGAAAGGTAGCATTTAAAACAGAATAGACATACAGAAGTCCAAAGGACTTGGTAGGATCCACCCGAGAGTGCTGATGGAGTTGGCTAATATCACTGTGGAGCCACTTTCACTTATCTCTATAAAGTTATGATATTCAGGGAAAATTCTCTCATCTTTGAGAGAGGGCAAGAGGATCCAAGCCAGTTTTATCCCAAACCCTTAGATGATAGAGCAAATAATCCTGGAAAACATATGCAAAGACATGAAAAAGAAGAAGGTGGCTAAGACATCAGCAGGGATTTACAAAGGGGAAATTGATGCCTGATCCACTGGAAGCCTTTCCTCACAGAATGAGAAGCTGAGTGGATGAAAGGAGCCTAGTGGATGTTGTTTATTCTTAATCTTAGTATGGCCTTAGACACCGTCTCCCATAAATCCTTGTTCACAAACTAATGAATTATAGACTAGACAACTGGACAGCGAGGGACACTGAAAAATGGCTGAACTGCTGGGCTTCAAAGGGTCATACTGAGTGACACAAAATCCACCTGGGACCAGCCACTAGCAGTGTATCCAAAGCATCAAAAGCGGGCCAAGAATGTTGAACATCCTCATCAATGAGCTGGATGACGGACAGAGTAGACCCTCTGCAAGTTTGCAAACAATACAAAACTAGAACTAGCAGTTTATACAATAGAAGGTTGTGCTGCCATTCAGAGATATCTGATATAAGCTGGAAAAACTAGCCACTATGAACCTCATGGGGTTCAACAGAGTGAAACGACATGTACTGCACTTGGAAGGGAATAACCCTATGCACCAGTAGAGGCTGCAGGCCAAACAGCTGGAAAGCAGCTTGGCAGAAGAGGACTGAAGTGGCTTGGTGAACATCAAGTTGATCAATGTGCCCTTGGCAGGAAAAGCCAACAGCCTGCTGGGCGACATTAGGAAGGGTGCTAGCAGAAAGTTGAAAGAAGTGACCCTGTTCTGGTGAAGGCTGCTCCTGAAGTACTGCTCATTCCTAGAGCACTGTTCTGGGCTCCCCAAGGACAACACAAACATGCTGAAGCAATTCCACAAAAAGCATCGCTAAAATGATTAAGGGATCAGACCATCTCTCATCTGAGGAGAGGCAGAGAAAGCTGAAATTATTTAGCCTGGGGAACAGAAGGTTTATCAATTTGTGTAGAGTGCATGACACATAAACAGCCTATAGTTAGTGGCATCCAGTGGAAGAAAAGGTGGCAATATGTACATACCTGAAATATGAGAAATTCCACTTAAATATAAGGAAAATTTTTACTCTAAGTGTGCTGAAAAGTAACTCTGTAACAGAGTGATTGTGCAGATTGCTTGGACTCAAAACCCAACTGCAAAGAGCCCTCAGTAACCTTCCCTAAGAAGGCCAGGAGTACTGGACTAGACAATCTTCCAACGTTTTTTCCAACTTCAGCAACTCAGTGATTCCAAAATAATGAGTTTTGGAATAAATTTAATTTTATTTATGAAAAGCAATGAGCACACTTACTCTGCAACATCCTAGTTCCTCTGCTGTTACTATGACCGTTCCACACTTCTTCCCAGGAATTCCTCTGCAAGAAAACACAACCACATCACCTTAATTCCTTAATATCACGTATGAAAGTTACAAATGACACAGAGAGCACATGGGAAGTTTTCAAGTCACAAAGCTGATGGAATGTAATTCAGTTTCCCTTTTCTGCCACTTGATCTGTGTAAAAAAGTTGATTTACCTTAAGTAAATTGGTAATGAGTTGCATATTTATTCTAACTAGAAAGAAACACATCAGTTTTAATATTAAAGAAAACAGCATTAAAAGTTTAAATAGGTTGAAATAGTAACAGAATTCTACTGTCCAGCCCCCCATTGATGTTTCCTTTAGAGATGACTCTACGACTGATTTGTGAAAAACATCCTATTTCAAGCTTTACTTAAACAAAATATCTAAAATATAGTTAAAAGTAAACACCAGCATTATTTTACAGCATTTATTCTGAAATGTCTACTGAAGAAGACACATAATTATCTCACCATCATATCTGATACAGGAGTTGCAAAATAAATTACTATTCACCCAAGCAGCAATTTAAAACATATGCTGCACACCAGAAAGCCCAAAACAGTTCCTCAGCATAAAAAACAGCAGAGAAACAGAAAACCCACACATAATCTGATAGAATTCAGTGCCAGCAGCCTTTTGGAGGGGAAAACACTCAACACAGAAGGCCATGTGCCTTATAAAAGGAGGACAATATTAACATGATGGTTGATAAAGAGGTGAAATACTTCATCAAGATTAGCACAACATTTCTTCATAGAACAAAAAGTTCTCATTATTCAGGAACTAAAAACTCTACCAAGTGACTTGTGCAGCTTTTGATACTATTAGGTACAAATTTTGTATGCTTAAATCTACATGAATGAAAATAATACTGGACCATTTGCAGACACCAAAGGGTTTGTTCTCTTATAAATTCCCTTACAAATCATTCATTAAGAAAAAAGTCCTTAAATGTAAAGTAAGCACCCTGACAAAAACTTCAGTGGTCACAGATCAGGCAAATGGAACAAACTTTAACTAGTAATCATGCCCTGTAAGAAAATAATAAAATAATTTCAAACTGGTTGAAATTTCAAGTACAAAAAAAAATCATTACTTAGTGATTCATCATTACAGACCAGTCTATCTAATTGCCAGAGAAATATTGACTAATACTATGTTGAAGACAAGCATGTAAGAGTTCCACCTGTTTAAATCCAGAATGAAGTGCCATTGCCCATCTTCCATAGCTCTAAGGGATAGCTGGTAGTGAGCAACCCTGGAACTGGCTCTATTGCACTGAAATTACAACAGAAAATTTATGTTCAGGCAACTAGTTTCTCAGGGTTTCTCTGGAAAAAGTTACAGATCAGGGGTTTTGGGGTACTAATTAGTGATAGATAGATAGATAGATAGATAGATAGATAGATAGATAGATAGATAGATAGATATTATCTGTAATCTGTATAGCATAACTGCAGTCAACTCCACCATTCAGGGCTAGTTATCTGAAATGCAGATATAGAAAATGAGCCAGTCTAAGTGTGAACAGGCTGCATATTGAATAAAGGGAAACAAAGTGGGAAAATCTACATTTCAGTGGGTCCTACTAGACTTGAGAGTCCAGAACCTGTAAGTTTCTCTGCAATGATCAACTCTTTTTGCACAGTATTTGAAGGAGCAGGTAATTTCACTCTTAGAGGAACAGAAGAGACAGCCATTATCAAATGAAAGGTTTTCAACAATACCTGCATGTCTAGATAAGATACAGTCCTAAGAAGTAATTATTGTCTCCTTAGAACAAATTATTCCACAATTGAGACACCACATCTGCTGCACCAAGAGAAGTTTAAAAGGACACTCTGAAGAGTACTTGTGCTTTAACAAGGACTGAAAGGAGTCTGTGTAAAAGATGACAATTTATGTGGAAATTCAAACCTGAGAGGTGAAAAAGAGTGTCCAATTTTCCAAGCTGGAATTGCAATGAGGCAGTGGACGGAACATTTTTCAGGTCATTCAAAGTTTTACAGTCTTATCCCAGAATTTGCAGAGCCTAGCCCTCTGATAGTCACATCCACAGATAAAAGGACAGGACAAATATGTATAGGAAGTCAGTTCAGGTGTTTTTCTATCAGTTATGTTCACAGCAAGATGACAGGAGGAAAAACTTTACATAATAGGCCAGCTGGCTCCAGTACAGCCTCATCAGCAGGCAACATTCAGATGTGAATAACTAGCATAGAACACTCATTAAGCTTTGTGATAGCCCTATCTCCTAATCAAAGGGAATTCCTACAGGAATGCACTTAGCAGATCCTGAAAAAAGCCACTGCTCAGTTATAAATGTGGCTAGCATCTTCTCTCTAGGAAAACAGAACATGTAAAGATATAATTCTGGATAATGTCTGAGCAGGTGACGTTTTCATGAGAGATAAATGAAACCACACCATTTCTGGAAGTAGATGTATCTGCACATTATCCTTTCATGTCAATACAGCTGGAACATGGGAGGCCAGTCAGAGTAAATCTTACATAGACAGCCTGTTTTTAGAAGGCATTTAATGAATCTAGTAACCCAACAGGTAAAGAGAACAACCATTACTATTAAAATGTCACATTATCCATTTCATCTTCTTTGAATTACTAGAATTATTTTCCAATAGAAATTATCCAAAGGAGATGTTCACATATGTACCTGACCAGTCTGTAAAATAAAGTGCAACACTAAAGTATGTCCTTGAACAAAAAATGCTCACTGTCAGAAGTGCAACAGGCTACCACACTACAATACTGGGAGCAAGACTCTCCTGTAACAGACTCCATAAAATTCCAAGTCCTTAATGGCATCAGAAACAGAGAGGGAGGTTCAGGGGACAATCTCACAATTGCCAAGAAGAAATACTATCAGGTTCATGCCTCAGAGCTGTAATCCACTGGTGCTTGTAATACCAATGAAATTGCATGGCATGCATGCCACGTAGGCAAGGAAAAATGTGAATTGTCAACTTTTGTACTTGGCACGAAGAAGTGCAAGGTGTGTTTCAGCCTTCCTGCTTGAACACAGCAATGATGACCCTCTAGGCTTGAGACCTTTGACTTTGAGGAAGGACAAGACTATCCTTTCATTGTAGACTTCCTAAGGGAACGTTCCCACATGATACACAATCAGACTCGAAGCTGGGCAGCTCACAGCAGCCATGGAGTCCTGAATTGTGTAAGACTTTTGTAAATGCTTAAAATAGACTGAGCTGAAGAATAAGCGTCAAGTCTTTCTAATTTTAATTTTTAAAGAACATCAGAGCTTACTTGAAGGCCAATCAGAAAATGGAATTCAATCTTCTCAAACTGCTTAAGTATAAAAAGTGCTACTTCTGTAGGGTAGCTGATTGGGATTAAAATGGCACCAAGCATTCTCTAATTTGTACATACATTGGCAGAGAACTGAAGAGGGAAAATGTTAATGAACTTCAGAAATATGGCAAAAAGATAAAGCTCTCATAACTCATAGATCATAAAGAGCATTCATGCTATGAGAACACAGACCTGACATCATAAAGAGAATAGTAAATTCAAAGCAGTAAATAGCCTTAAGAAGACATGCAATATTGTCTATTTAATTACTTCTCATTGTCTGAATATTTAAAGACATTAAACACACTTCTATAACCAAACAAACCTGAAATGCAATGCAATAGTTAAATGAATAACAAAAATGTCTCCTAGACACCAAGATGTCCAGACTTCAGAGAGTCCAGAATGGACAATCACTCCAGCACAGTTGTCAAATCACAGCACTGTCAAAAGTACCAGTGACAAAATAAAACAGGGACACTATGAAGAACTGATACAAAGTCAAACACTTTCTCATTAACCTGTGCATACCCACATGTTGGGTCCACTTAGTAACTAACACACAAGAGAATATCAGAACCCAGACCTGAGAAATGCTTGTTTACCCAAGAGAAAATATATTACACAGGCCAACGCAACTACGAAAACCTTTTTTCCACGGAATCTTCAGAGATTTTTTTTCCATTTCTCATAGAGAATTTCAAACTTTAAACTTCATCTGTTACTCATTTCAGACTTCATTTAACCTGTACCAAATTTTAACTGTTGAATGGATGCCTTTTAATCTACATGTTCAAAAGGAATTTTCACAGGGAAAAAAGTGTACTGAGCTGAATAATTTACTAATTGAGGACAGAAACAAATCTGAAGACCTTCAAAAAGTCAGGTAAGATCTTACTAAATATAAGTGTCTTCAAAGTCAACACTTTCTCTGACCAAGCAGAGGTTGTCAACCACAGGCTTCCAGAATAATCAACTGATAATCAGCCAACCCAGTTGGGTTGGAGTTGTGACAGTGCAATTCACTGCTAGCATAAGCTAGGCCCGGACAGTGAAAAGTCAGTGAGCTGTTGTTTTAGTAGAAGTAAAACAGGGCCAGCCTGTCCCAACTGACAAGACAGGATTTCTGTGCCCAAACTGTGCAGCCATCAAGAACTAAAAACATGTCCAGAACAAGCAGTGAGTGCGTGTTGCCATCCCACAGTGCTGGGGCTCTGGTTCTCCTGGGACAGCCCTGGAGCTGGGCAGGGATTGTTTCCTCAGTCGTGTTACTGGAATGCCCCTGCCTGTGCCTTGTACCTCTGTGATTCTTTGGGTTTCCATAAGCTGATGACTCTCCTGGGATGGGTCTGAAGGAGCCAGGGCAAGGTATTTGGACTCCCCACCTACCATTGGGACAATTCTCATTTGTTTACACACAACCTTTTTAATCACATAACCTAACACAACTTTTCTATTATGACACTTCCTGTACTGGTCCTCAAGGTTATTTCCTAGACATGTTTTTAAAAGTTTAATATCTAGAATGAGATTAAGGGGAGAATCACAAAATACTGTTGTCTAAAACCACAACATTTGCTGATGTTAATGATTTTGAGTGATTGTATTAGAAATCTGATAATCTGGTCATCTGATTCTTCACTGTTTCTTTGTGAAGGTTTTTTTTTGCAGGAACTCAAATGCTTGAACAAAAGGTAACACAATTTTTATGATGTGCTAATTTTCAAACTAAAAAACATTTTTTAGATTAGTACACTCAAGCTATTTCTAATGCAAAATGTGACAAGGTTGACAAAATCTTTGGATTAGTCAATTCCTTTGCTAATTGTCCAAAATGAAACCTTAATTATCATCGCCTATATAAAGAAAGACTTCTATTGCATGTAATTATTTACCCTCTCTTAAAAGCTGTATCTGTCAATTCTGTAGATCAAGATACCTCACAGCAAAAAAGCTCCACAACTCCTGCCTCATGCAGCAGTATGCATTCATCCAACATCCCAGAATACTTACACAATTGATTTTTCCAGTCTGCTCCCCTGTGATCCCACTATTTCTCCCAGTGTACAAAACATCTGTCCCAAAAAATCCTGAAAAGCAACAACATAAAAACTCAGAATTCATATTTCACACAGTGAAATTTGGTTTCCCATTTATCTGAGCTGTTCCCTACTGAAGAACAGGTTCTGCTGAACACCACATCTTAGAAATAACTATGCAATAATGAATCATAAACAGACACACTACCACCTATTTGACATAACAGTAGGTTACATTTACAGATGTAATTCTAAGGCACTACACAGTCACTACAGGGAGCATGTAATTGGAGATAAATGGCTAAAAGTCTCATCTTTTCACTGTGAAGCACACACACAGCATTCCTTCTACTACTCTCTTAGTTTGCTCCAGGTTCTCAAAGGTTCTCTTACCACAGCCTTCCTGTATTTATCTTTTAAAAACATCACTGAGAAGCCTCTGAATTCTACCTTTCTCTAAATATTAAAGTTACTACTTCATCACTCGCACTTCAAGACAACATGAGTATAAAATGTTTCTTCTAACATTGAGACATAATCAAAACTACAATTTTAGGACCCAGGAAAGTATCAGCAAATTGCAGCATATTACATATCTGAAAAGGCATACATGCATGCTCAAATATGTCCTTTGCAAGAGAAATGTCCCATTAAAATTATACTTATCAGGATTATGTGTTTTCACTCATAGCACAATCACTGCATTTGTCTCTGAGTATCTGATACTACTTACAGTAAAAAGAAAATAAACATACTGAAGAACTGGAAGCATTTTAGCACAAAAAATTATAATAGTGAGGAAGAACTTACATGTTTTGATAGGTTAGGACTCTTTGAGTCAACGTCATAGCTTAGGAAAAAAAAAAGAAAACTTATATTAGAGTTGCCAGTGTCTCAGACATTTCTGATGACAATTACGTAAAGAAACAAAAATCAAACAATTCTTTCGCCTATCGCCATGTATTAAATTTACACAAACAGATTTGTGAATGGGAGTTCCCCATTAAGGAAGACAAACTGAATCATCACATATTATAGGACTATGGTTCACTAGTTATTTGAAATTAAATAATTTTGAACAAAGTGCAAACTTTAAAGAGAAATTCTTTTGATGTTCCTGTTTGAACAATGGAAGATGACAAAAAGCAGACCAAAAATTAAAAAGAAACCCTAGAAAACAAACTTACTTGTAAATTATTTTCTTATGCAATTTTTCAGTCATTTGAATAAGCAAATAGAAGTAAATGACAATAAACTAAACTGCTTTTAGTAAGAGTTTGATTTGTTCTTCTGAGTTTATCATAATCTTCACCTTCCTCCAGCTAGAAAATATCATAGTTTCCCTTCCATAATCAAGTCAAGAGTTAAAAAAAAACTCTCAAAATTTAAGAGAGATTGAAAAAAATAATATAAGAAATTCATACAAGATTACTAATCTCTATAATAGTCTTCCATCTTTATCAGATAATCCAAGTAATATTTTTTATCAAATAATCCATTCAGGTTCAGTACCAGTAATGAAACTGAAAAGGTTTTTTTCTGTTATGTTACTGCCCATCTCAGGCTCCCCTGCATGTTTCTGTTCCCATTGCATGGAATGCTATCTCTTTGGTTGTGCTGACACAACTGGTTGCTGGGATGCATCATGGACCAGACCACAAATCAGGATTACAGGGATACCGTAACATAGCTGGATGTGGTGCAGCACAGTCAAAGCTTTAGAAACATATTTATTAAGAAAAGAAATTCCTAGAAATACCATTAACACAAGTTCCATCCTCCAGTTAAAAGCAAACGCTGCTGAAATTGAACAGGAAGACACAACTTAAAATTTGACCTGAGGGATAGCTACAGAAGTAAAACAAAGAATAACTTCACCGGCAAAATCACTTACTAAGTACCAGCTGTGAGCAGAAAGGGGCCTGTGACATTGGTGGCTATATATTTTAGGGGGAGGATCATGCACATTTATTGAAGCAGAAAATATCAGAGCTATTCTTGCCACATTTTTTTCCCCCTGTAAAATATATTAATCATGTAAGGAATTTCTTTGAAAACTAACACTTTGGCCAACAGTAGTACACAATTTCATCAAGGAACTGAATACAGAAAACTTTCTAAAGTTTCAGAATTGGGATTTAATCCATTAGTGGCTATATGAGATCCACATTTTAAACTCAGAGTTCTAAGATATTTAATTTTTCATCTATCATTATTACAGGGCTCTACAATAAATTCACATAATATGGCCACAATATGATCACTTGCAGGCAAAGACAGTAACAGCTATTCAGCTTTGAGTTCAGAACAGACTTGTGCCCAGGTAACCCAGGACAGCAGCAGAAAGCCATCAGGTCTTTTTGATAACTACAGAGAATGTGTGTATTTACAGCTTTTCATTAACAGACAGGAATCCATTTTTCTGACTACATAAATAATTAAACAGGAGACTGTTTTCCCTTCCAGGTCCAAGTCCTCTCCAGAAAGCACTTACCCAGAAGGTCTTTACAGACTCCCCTTTCTTTCTGCAGACTGAGCTTGGCTTTCTCAGTTCACTTCTATCACTTCTCATTTCTATTGCACTGCCCCCTCCCCATAATGGACATGCATCCTATGAGAAGCAGGAGGCAAATAGATACAGATTTCCACACAGCCCCCACTGTGTGGCTATTTCAGCAATGCTTTGTATTTGGAGAAGAATCCCTTATTTCACAAATTGCTTAGTTTTTATTTAAAACCTATTTTAAATAACCCACTATAGTTATACTCCACAGATTGAATGACATTAAACCCAACTCTTAAAACTGCAAATAAAGTCTGCATCAGACTTCCATTGTTGAAGTCAAAGAATTTGTACCTTGCCACATCAAAGCACCCTGTAATCTTCCTAGCTTTAAGTATTTCCTTTCATTCTTTGAAATAGGTGGTCTAGGACATCTTAAAAAGGAAATGAAAAGAAACAGGGAAAGGATTCTTCAATTAAAAAAGGACATACAAAGAAAATTTGTGGCCACAATGCATAGTGGGATTCAAAACTGCAGCAAAAACTTAATTATCTATGAGGGTTATTCATATTCTTTCCTAGGGCAAGGTTAAGAAAGAACTCCTAATAAAAAAAGAGGAGGAAAATTAAGGAAAATAAGACAACCTTGATTACCACAAAGACTGAAATAATCAGAAAGGACTGAAATGTAAGAGACGACGTGCAATGGTGACATGACCTGGTGACTGGACTCTCAATTCTCTTTTCCAAAGAATAAAGTCAAAGTCAAAACAATTCTACCAGCAGAATGAAATGAGCACATCTGGAATAATGTCAAAAGCCATCTACTTCTAGATCAACTGCTGTTGTTTTAAAATCTAAAATTCGGTATATTTAGATGTATAGTAAAGAAAATTTTGGGTCTGTGCTACTTGTACAGTATTTTATTTCTGAACAGTATATCTGTACCTGTTTTGCTGACTATTCTGCAAGAATATTTTAACATTTTGACATATTTTTCTTTCTATTTTCTGAAAGTAATAATTGTAAGCATAATTGGACTTTGACTAGTTAACATTTGACAGTTTCTTAAAACTTGGTCATTATCAAGTTACACATTTATTTCTGAGGATGCAATGCTAAATCAGTCATGTTTATTACATTAATTTATCCTATGTCAATAGATACCATCTCCAAGTTAATTTTATGCTGGACAAAACTTTACATGTTGACAGAGGCTGAAATATTGGAGTCAAAGTTGTTAACTTACAAATCAAATCGCAGATTCTCTCTTTCTTCAAAGAAGTAGTCCATTATAAATTTTCTTACAAAATCTGGATTTAAAGTATTATCAATTACTTCTGTTCTTCCAAACTGTAAAAGAAAAGAGCAAGTTTAAGCTACATGCTATAAGGAAGAATAATTAAACTGCCAATATCAGGAATATGTGAGATATAGACAGCCTGTAAAAACTTCTCTTGAACAGATGCCATGAAAGAAAATTACTGCATTCACATTAATAGATGAGTTACCTGTGGATGAAGACAGAGTGACAGAAGACCTCATATTTCAATACAGAGAAATACCTTGAACTAAACTGCATCAACATCAGCTCCCAAAGCCAATTAAAATCCACAAAAATTTGAATCAGTAACAAAATCCAGTTTCCTGAAAAAAAACCACACCAAAAAAACCCCAACCAAACACAAGAGCAAGCAAAAGCTTGCATATATTATTTATTTCAGACAGCTTTAAATATTAGGGAACACAGTATTTCCATTGCAAATGTATCATTTTTGCACTGTCCATCTCCTATTTCACCTCAGTTCAGCTCCCTCTTCATCACTCTTCTCTCTGAGCTTTGGCAAAATGCCTTTTCCTTCTTAAAGTTTATAGGAGGTGCCTCAGACCCTGCCAAGCTTGTATTTTAATTTTAAAAAAATTCAAACCTTAGCTGGGGAAGACCTAGAGCAATCCGGCCTGACTTTGGAGATGGCTTTTCATGGATCAGGAGGATGAACCAGAGAGAGCAGATGAATAGAAGGCTGGATAACACACAGGTTCATTCTCTTAAATTAATCCATGATTGTCATATTCGATGTATCATGGGTTTAAATTTTATAGCTCCATTAGAAATAGAATTATGTATGAATCCAAAGGAAAAGTTACTTCAAAAGAAAAAGAAATTATAAAATGGCTAAGTGTCAGTTTTAATTTTTTTAAATAACAAAACATCATAAATTTTTAAGTACTTTTCATCTCTTCAATTCTGTATTTTTTTCAATAAGCAATATTTCATTTTACACTACAACCATGTTACCCTTGGGAAGTCTGTCTAACTTGATTTACAATGCATTACAGACATGTATCAGTAACCAAAGATAAACATGCAATGTACTGATGATCAAATTACAGTGAGACCAGAAAAGGCCTAACTGAAAACCCATTCATCTCTCAGAAATTATACTTAGATTGTTACAAAACTTGAGAGACTGAATTCAGTGGCACTACTAACTTTTCTTTAAATTATTTTAAATTACTGTTTTGGGTTTTAGTTGAGGCTTCAGTTTTTTGTCCGTTTGCTTATTTAACATGGTGACACAAATGATTCCTTCCCATATGCTTGGACTCAGTGATCTCAAAAGCCTTTTCCAATTTAAATGTTTCTGTGATTAAACTACTATAACTAATTAACTGAGGAGTTACTAATAGAATTTACCTTACTTGTGGCATTAAAATGCTGTTCTCTAAAAATCACTAGTCTACACTTTTCAGCTAAATTAAGCACCTTTTGAAATCTGTTTTCCCAATTACCTATTGCCTTCGTAAACAGAAGAGATTACTTCTATAATCCAGTCATTTATGACTAACAACATAGCTACTGATTAATTAGTTCTCCACATGGCCTACTTTCCCCAATAACAATTGAATAAAGCTAAAATTTCAACATGGCCAAGAAGCAAAAGCCTTCAGAAACACTATTCGGGAGAGTAACAGAATCAATGTAAATATTTAAATGGACTAATCTTCTACCTACCGCCTTAATTTTTTTTTTTTTACTGATGGTATAAATATAATACATCAGAACACATAAAACACAATGTTGATTAAGCCCCTCCACAATGCCAACCTCTAAATTTTGTCTATTGCAACAGATACTAGGAATGGATTCTACTCACTGAACTCTATATCTGACATAGTCAGAAGTTTAGGCTTTTGCTCATCTCTTGGAGGCATTTATATAGAATGATTCATCTGATCTAATGCAGACATCTAAATTAGGTCTGGTGAACTGCCCTCAGGATGTTACTTTTTTCCACTAACTGTAAACAGAAAACAGAGTTGAAAGTATTTATACCTGAACCTCCTGATAGACAAGATGGAGATAATTATGATTTAAAACAAAAAACTCAGATTTTCTAGCAACTACAATGTCAAAAGTCTGTTTAAATGCCTGTAATTCCTAAACTTCCTCTTTAATTCTATGTACTTCTAGATAAGATATTTTTTTATTTCTACCATCAGGACAATTATAATATTAAAAATGGTAAGTATTTGTTTTAACAGCTACATAAGAGAAGTATGAAAATTGCACAAAGTTGCCTATGAATCTTAGACAAGAATAAAAGCCAAAATTTTGACAAAATCATCTTAACCCTGGACCAGAAGAGGACCCAAATGCTTGAGTGATGATCTAAGCTTGACAACCAAACTGTTCCAAGCTACCTCGGCACCTGTATGAATTAAGAATCTGCTGTTTTCACAGTTTGCTATCCAGACATTTAGAACCTTGCTTATGTCCACTACAACTCCTAATTTATCTATGATTAGGGAATTCCCATTATGAGTCCTTAAACTGACATTTCTTTACACGAATCATCAGAGGAATGTGATCCAGTAGGTATACTGAGAGGATATCTAGTATCCACTTAAGAACAACACAGAGCAGCTAAATTTAGCTAAAAAATACAAATTAAATAGGTACACTGTTTTATGTATTGCAAAGTTATATGAGCTTTTCCCCAAGCATGAGACAAATTCAATTATCTCTTCTTGACAAGACTGAAACTCACATTCACCATGTTTCAGCAAAGCAGAAAATACAATTCTCTGGCCAACAGGCAAGGACACCAAATATAAGAGAAGAGGTCTGTTTTCTGTGTTTCTGGTCACCTCCCACTGCAAATTTTACACAGCATCATATAAATCATATAAAATCATATAAAATATCAGTTCTGAAAACAACAGTATCAAACCTCCTCTCTTTTACAGGGAAAATACTAAGATAGTACATTCCACACTTGGCTCTATTCTTAAAGCCCAAGGCCGCACAGTGATGCACCTGTAGTGAAAAACACCTGCAGTGAACAAGTTCCACCAATCCTCTCTGAAGGCAGGTAAACTGTATTTTATCATAGAAAGATGACCATCCTCCCCCCGACACTATCAATTCTTTCAAAGAGTAACATTAGAGAAGAAAAATTAGATGACTAAGTACTGGAACAAGTTCCAGGTTCTGAGGTACTTGTTTTAGTTTCTTAAGACATCTCTCTAGAGTGTTTACACTCACAGAGAATATAAAGTCCAACCTATGCGTAATATCCTCCCTCCCTTGCTGCCTACAATAATGTACACTCTCTTCAGCAGCATCTAAATTGTCTGAAACACTACACAGCAAACAAAGGTACATCTTTAACACAGCTACAGGCTAGTTTTGCTGACACTGACCCTCACCACAGCTCAATCCTGGTTTGAATGTCTCCCGCTCTCTCGAGCCACAAACCTCAACCAAATTGACAGCTAAGTCCGGTTTAATTTATCTGAGGGAGACTGTAAAATGGGAAATTCATGTATTTTCTCTATTTTGTTTTCTTTTTTGATGGAAATGTGTGAAACAATGTGGAAATTGAGATCAATGCAACTGTATTTTAAGTGTTTCCTGGTACATAGGACCCCCATACACCTAGCATGGCATTCAAGAGGCTATGACATGCCCTCTTCTGCTAGGACAAATGACCAGCCCTAGATGCACCCAAAAGGTTTATACATCTATGAATATGCATCTTACCTCTCTCCATTCCTTGTTTCCAATTGCTTGTGTGTACAAAACACAGACTGTGGAGGAAAAAAAAAAAAGTTTTGTTATTTTCAAACTTTATCATATCCTTAAATTAAGTGAACTAATTTTGTAGTCTCTTGTGCTGTGGGAATTATTAACTAGGACAATCAAATGGTAATGTTTTCCCTCAGCTGTCAGTAAGCCTAACCAGAGTGGTGACCATGTGGTGTACTTGTTGCAGAAATCAGCTAATAAATGTAGTGCTTCTAAAACGGGAGGCAGCACTTACATCTGACCTCCAGCAAAGCACTTGACAATCTTTAAAAGTAAAATTGAATAAAAACAGGTGTTCCTTAAATGTGGGTAGTCAGACTATTCTAGATAATCTAATGCACAATTACCCTAAAATACATTTCCTTCAAGAGAGATGAAAATTAAAGTAAAAAAACAAATGAGGACCCTACTGAAAAGAAACAGGGGAAACAGAACCAGGGAAAAAAAAAAAAGATTTCTTAAGTTTTCTTCCTCAATTTTGCTTCAAATTATTTATATATATTTAAGCATCTCAGATACACATACTTTAGTTTTTTAAACTAAAGCCTGAAAAAATGGAATCAATTAAATTTGTTGACCTAACCTGAATTTGAAAGACCAAGCAGAACTATCCCACAGGTGTCACTCAGATCTCTGTTTCCAGTAAAGCACTCACTACATATTACACTGCAGCTTTCATCACAAGGACTGGTAACAGGGGTGCAATGACTAAAATCAGGTCTTTTAAACACTGTTTTAAGTACAAATCATTTGCACTGAAGGAGCACTATAAACCTTATTTTCCACAGTCTTGAACTAGTTGCAGGTAACTATGATAAAGCAATTTTTACCTGAAACTCCTCTTCAAATCCTTTCTAAATAACAGAAATACAGATATTTCAACATTTTTTGTCAACATATTCTTTTCTTGCACCAATCATTATTTTTCAAAAGAAGGTAAAAATAATACTGTTTTAGGTTGCAGCCTTGAACAACAAAGGTAGAGGTTTGATTTTGTTCTCAGTGAAGTCAGAATCATCAGCAGACAAAAACCAGAAATTAAGTCAACCTTCTAACTACATTTTCTTCTTACTTAAAATGCATTTGCTCCACACAGGCACACAAAAAAAAAAAAAAATCCCCTTAGGCAGTAGCAAATAAGAGGAGAAACAGGAAAAAGCAATTTCAATATTTTAGCTCACACAGAAACTAAAAGTTAACACTTTCATTTTTTAAGTAAGATGTTTCATAGATGAAAAAAAGCTTTTACCAAAAAAAAAAAATTAAAAATAGTTCTCAGGAGATAGTAGAGTGAATCCAAACCAAAAAGCCTATTTTTACAACACACTCTGAAGTAAGCTGCTGGAGTGTATTACGTGAAGAATGAAGTGAAATGGGAAAATGTGAGAAAACAGAATGAAATAGAAGCTATGAAATTAGCTAAAAAAAGCTCTGTAGGTTACTGAACTTCTGACTATCCATCCAGAATTGTAGAATCACAGAATATGCTGAGCTGGAAGGGATCCATCAGGATCCACATCCAACTGCTGGCCTGCATAGGAAACCTCAAGAGTCACCCCATTTGCCCAAGAGCATTGTCCAAACACTTGTTGAACTCTGTCAGGGTGGTGTTGTGATCACTGCCCTGGGGAGCCTCTTCCAGGGCCCAACCACCCTCTGAGGGAAGAACATTTTTCTAATACCCAACATAAACCTCCCCTAACACAGCTTCAGGCCACTCCCTCATCTCCTGTCACTGGACACCACAGAGAAAAATCAGAGGAAGCTGTAGACTGAAATACGGTCTCCCCCTCTAGGCTGCAGATGTGGCCAATATTTTAAATATAATAAAAATATAGACTAATAAGCAATCACCTCATACAACATTTTATTGTAAGTAAAACGTGCAAGTCTGACAGGGATACATACACGTGTGCATCTCACACTGATATTCCAAACACAAAGTCAGCCCTAATGAAAGCTATAGAAAAGGCATATTTTCAGTCTTTCTGATAAATACTTTGTAAATTGAGAAAAAAATTTAAAATTCTTCTATGTTTCCTCTAAAATGCACACCACAAATTTTAGGAAACCAACCATGATACTGGTCTCCATCAATGTTAAGGTTCACTGTCTCGAATGGCTCTTGGAAAGGGTTTTGTAAAGATCCTGATACACTAATTGCAATAATCACTCAAAAACTTCATTCATCAAATTCATATCCAACTGGAAAAATGCAGATAAATATGGTAAAGTTGATCTAAAGCACTTGAAATGCTCAAACCAAAGACTAAAGGCTCTATAAGGCAAGCCATTTTTTTGGAAGAAAACAGTTAACAGCATTGTCATGAGGGAGAAAAAGGAATAAAGGGGAATAAATAGTATTTCAAAAGCCATTTTATTATGCAACCACATCCTAAGACAGCTGAAAAAATAGTTTTTCTCTCATAATATCAAAAATTGAGGAAGCAATGAGAAAGTTCACAGCAGTACACTGATGAAGAGTAATTGAGAAACCCTTTTGGAAGGCTTTGCTGTATGAGTTGCTCCAAGAGAAGATACAGCTACATTTGTAGTCAGTAATATTAATATTTAGTAATTTTTAACTCTGGACACTGCTACCACAACATCATATTCAAGGTAAATTTAATTAAATCTTGCAATGAAGACAAAGGTGGAAATGTCAATACTTATTACTCTGTTGTAGATACAGTTGCCAAAATATTATTGATTATTACAGCCTGCACCTTCCTGTTTTCCCAGGTAGACTGGGCCTCCCTTACCTGCTCTGGTCCTTTCCCTTTCAATGCATATATGCTTATCCTTTAGTCTGGCAATTACTGTTACATCAACATTGCCCATCTCAGTTTTCCCAAACACAACAACACATCAATTCCATTCCAAGGAAGACTTATCCTCAATGACACTGATGTTTTCCCCATGTTACTTACATCTTTTCATGGTACCAGTTCTAGCAGGGCTCCCCAACACTCTTCAATAACCAGCTTTTATACCTTCCAGGCAGAGGTGCCCTAACATCCCTTTGTCTCAACCACCAAGAGATTCTTCTTATTGTTATTGTTCTCCATGGGGAGATTCCCCAGGGAAGAGCTTTTATGTCTTCAGTCATTCATCCTGGACTCTTTTGATCATCAATACTCAGGAGCCACGGGGCTCCACAGGAGGACATTTCATCTGACTGTGCTGCTGCCAGCACAGCTCTGCAGGACTCAGCTTGAGTCGTCAGAGCCTGGGAAGAAAAGAATTCTGCCTGTTATTAGACAGCGGAAACATGCCAAAATCATTAATCTGTATCTCCTCGGCAGGTCTTATCCCTGCCTCATCAGGGAAGCACTACTTTAGCTCAGCTTTCTACAAGGAAAAAAACAATAAAACCCATAGATTAAAAAAAAAATATTCCTAGAAAAAATGGTCTCCAAACTGGGAGAGCAGAATGCTCCCAACACTGCAGTAAATCAGTATATATGGCTTGCTTTGACTCCACTGAGCTGAAAGCACTGTCAGTAAGAGGCTTCAGTATTGTTTAAAATACTTCATGAATAATGGCTATCCAAGCCTATCCCATCTGTATCTACTATCTCTACTCTACTGTTACTTCTGTCACTTGCCTCTGGGGAAGCAAAGTGATAGATTCCTCTTGGCATGAGTATTCTAGATTTCAGGGAAGTGGTCAGAATTGGAATACTGAGTAGCAATTACAGTATCAAAAAAAGGCCAAGCTTATCTCCTAAGAGAACCAGGAAAATCACAAATTCCCTTTTAATTTCAGGAGAAGGCTATTTATATTGACATGGAAGTCAGCTGCATTCCTGTGTGTCCCTCTGAGAAAAAGACCAAGAAGATAAAATTGGATTTTCACTACCACTATGATCCTCAGATAAATGCACTGGAGTATGAAAAGAATATTAGAACTGGCCTAGTCAAAAGCAATGAGACCTCAGCATACAGAATGATTCTACATGGTTCTATCTTGTATGAAATCTAATGGCTGCAAATTCAGTGGCTGTAAAAGTGGATCTTGTGACAGTGGCAGGATGCTGATTTTGGCACCTTCTTAGCTACAGATTAAACTTACTGTATACAGACCAGCCTAGAGAATGGCCTTTGTCCAAGTGAACAGACATTGAGGAAAGTTGTCCTGCTGTACTTGCAAATATAGAAGAACAAGAACCTTTTATACTACTCACCCCTTTTACAGTAGGGCCATATCTCTGTGCCCAGCTAAAGGACAGTACAAGCAAACAAACTAAACTGGGTATTAAAAAACCTGCAGAGTACTAAAACTGGCCAGAGCTACTCACATGGCTTCCAGAGTTGACAGGAACCAGCTGTGACTGTCACAAGGTGGTTCATGGCCTTCTCCCACATAGCTCACACTGCAGTCCCCTGCCACTCAAATTCTCCAATTTATACCTAATACAGTGCCCTATCTGATAAAAACTTGAAGCACTTGTCATTAATAATATTTCAGCCTAAGAACTACAGACACCGTATCACTTTTGCCAATATGAGAGATCTCTGAATTCATTATGGGCAATGGGTCACTGAGCATTCTTCAAAACAGTTTAATTGAGGGTTTTTTTTAAATTAATCACAAAATTGTTAGGGACCTTTGAAAATCATCCCATCCAACCCCCAACTAAATTTTACTATCATTTTTAGCCAACTAAAATTTTTTTATTAATATGCAAAACAGTCGGTTTTGTTTCTGTGTGATCTCCCTACACCAGAGGCACAGTATTGCTTATGTCTCCTAAGGTTGTTTCTTGTTTTTTTTTAAAAAAAAGCTTTACAGGTTAGAAACACCAAAGGTACTCCTAATTTCTTGTAGCTTTTCTCCAGGAAGTAGAAGCTTTCCCTTCAAAAGTGTACTGTGGAATCTCTCTCAAGAAATTTTTGATGCAGAATGGAAACATACACTCTAACAAAACTACTCAAATGTTTCATAACCCTACATGACTCAATATTCAAATATCAGGGCATGGTTTCATGTCTAGAGACTTGATACAAGTATATGTGTCTTGGGTTATTTCCAATGCCAGTAGGCCCAATATATGGTATCCTAAGGAAGAAAAGCCCAGGCTTAAAGAAAGAAAATGAACTTCTGGATAAAAGCAAATGGAGAGCTTTACAGAAGAAAAGATGACACCACAACCTAAGGACCGATCCATGAACAGTACAAAACTCCTCTGAGTAAGATCATCAGAAAAAAAATGAAATTTTTTGCAATCTCATTCCTTGATTAAAGTTTTCATAAAGCATCCAACACAGGAAGATTGTAATGGTTTTTAAATCAAAAGTCCCATCATAAATTCATAGACATGAGAGTTTTGGAGGATCCAGTCATAATACAGCTTACAAGGAAAGTGAGTGTCACTAGCTTACAATTCTGAAAAGATTAATTCTAAAACCATCATACCACTTTTGATCAGGAAAGATAGCGTTTTCCAGATATTAATTAACTTAATTTTATTTTTCAGCATTTGACTAAGTTTAGTGGACAGTGTGTACTAGAAGCAACAAATGCTTCTAGTTCATTTAGTATTTTGCTTAATAGCTTTGAAAAAGATCTAAAACAACAGCTATTAAAAAAGAAACAACAACCCAACCTTACAGAATTTATTAATTTCAGGAACCTTTAGGTTAAATACTACATAAGGGACTATCTAGCTCAGGAAGGTAGTATTAAAAACAGTCTTTAAAATTCCAGCTCTCATAACATTAATTATAAGTGTAACTTATTTAAGTGCAACTTAATTATTCTAAGTAATTGTCACAAAGACAATGTAAACCTAACTGACACTGAAGAAAATCACCCACCTAATTTTATTCCAGTGTTTGCACATTTAGTATATGTAATAACAAGAAACAAAAAAATACTATATACTCACTTGGATCAGATTTAGAAAATGTATCTCTGTCCAAAAGATTTCTATAAAAAAAAAGAGAAAAAATAATCTTAGGAATAAAAAAAATTGTGAAATATGCAAATCAGATACCAATGCACATATGTTTTCAACATTTTCAATCAAGAGTCAGCTTAATCTTCTCCCCTCCTAATACACAAGACTTAGTCAGCACTAACACTGGAGTCAGTTTACTTTTCATTTTATTATCCATTCTGGATCTGATCAAACTGTGCTCATACACTTCAATACCATGAATCAAAGAACAACCAAATGTACATTATATATACATGTAACAGGCACCAGGAAGAGAAATACCTTTAAATCACAAAGGCCTACCAAAGATTAACTTGCCAGTTCAACACAAAAACTTTAGACTTTACTTAAAAGAATGGCTATGAGACCTCAGAGCCATCAGGAAGTATCTCTAAGAATCTGTCATAGACAAGTAAGGTAAAGAGAACTTATCCATACATAGAACACACCTAGGAATAAATATTAATTTTGTTTTGGAATGCCGTCCCAATACTGTAACCATGCTCCAGCCAGCTGAGAATCATGCACAGATGAATGGACTTAAATTAACAATTCTAAAGAATCAGGACTGACCAGAAACCATTATCAGAATAGTTACCAACATTCTATCATTCAAAAAAAATAAAAATAAAATAAACAGTTTTTTTAAATTGTCTCAACAGCCTAGAAAAATGTTCTGAAAACAGGATGCCATTGAAAAGGGACAAGAAAGAGTTAATAAACTTTGGAAGGTATTAACAGAAAAAATGCAGCATAGCTACATGAAGCTGGATATACAGTAATTATGTCAAAAATAGTCCTAGACATCAGAGTTGACCACAAATTGAATGCAAGTCAGGAATCTTGTACCTTTGGGAAAAAGGCATAATGGATACAAACAAAAATTTTGTCCACATTAGACTAATTGTCTGGTCTTCATAATACTGATAAACACTCAATTCAAGCAATAATGTTTTGGACACTGATTTCTTGCAATCTAAAACACACAAGGAGCTACCAGAATTCAGTGAAAATGGAAATAATCTGAAGTATATAGACTGTATCTATGAAGGAAATACTGCTACAAATTGAAACCGACCTCGATGCAGACAGAGTAAGTAGGAACAGGTTCAACCATAAATTGAATCTTCTGCACCACATGCACAGAAGTTGAACTTTAGTCCACTGTTTTACTATCTTTCACTGTTAAAGGTGGGAGACATTATGTGAAATCTCCATTGTCTTCAAGAACATGTCAGATAGCTACAATTTCTAGTAAGGTCTTTGACCCTACCCCAGAGCAAAAGGAAGGATTAAATTTTACATCCCTTGTAGCTGTTTACTTTAATAATTAGTAGAGCCTCTTCGAGGGTCACCATTAACTACTGTCATTCAGATCTAAATTACATTATTTTTGTGCTACTGAGCAGTGCTTAAAAGTGGATTACTATTTTGTTCAATACAGGTGTTCTAAGAGGTTCAATTAAGACTTCAGCAATGAAAAGATATGTATTCCAAATTTAAGTATTGCCAAGTTCACACTCCAGCACAAGCAATATGAAAAAAAAAATAGCTTGAAAAGAACATTGGACAGATTTGTTTTATTAAATCTAGTCAAAGTAGGCACTAGCTTTAATATTACTACTTGTGAATACACCTGAATTCTGTATACACTAATTTTTCTGAACTTCTCTAGTCCATTCAGAAGTGTGATTTTTATGCATACAATTATACTCAGTGAAACTGTATCCTACCTTAATGAAAATCATGCAAATATAAATTGGAAGTATTAAGAAACCCAGGAAAATCAGTGAACCCAAGTCAGTAGTTGACAACAACTACTACAAACTCCTTTAAAAGACAGTACAGCAAGTTCTGCAATATTGCAATTGCCAAAATGAAAATTGCCTCCTATTCCTTCTTAATTATATATACCTAGATGCACCATTAATTCCTGGTAACTAGAATTGGATTATCCCAAAATTAATTACAATGAAACTGCAAAAGCAGATTTATATGTAAGAAATAGTACATCAGATTTTGGAATAGGCCTCCCATACTCAGCATTAGAATTCCAAACAATTTTAAATGCTCTGCATGATGACTATACAGTGACATTCTAATTGGTATGTTAGTGCTTGTCACTGTATATTAGGATTAAGGAATTTTAGTCATGCTCATACAGAGATAAGGTACTTTGAGTTCTTTAGATATTTCCTACCCTTGTGTTCCTTTTTAAGTTTTGTTCCCCTCTATTTTCCCATATACATACTAACATGAAGAGCGGCCTGATACTGTAAAGCTTAGTCTGGGAACAGCATAAAAAGCAGGTAAGAATCCGTAGATGACAATCTACAGGTTCTTAAAGAATCTAAAGATAAAGAATGTTTAATAAGTTAAGAACATTTCTACAGAAGCAGTATCCCTGAAAGGATTGCAAGGGGAGAGACACACAAGTTTAACATTGTAATTCAGTCAGTTTGTGCAATGAACTCATGGTTTTGAACAACAACTTACAACACCATCAATTCAACCCTTCACACACTTTCCTGCAAATAAACAACGTCTTCAGCAAAGTTTGCAGCATGTCTGATTGCCCAAATCTTAAAGAGCCAACCAAAACACCAACATAAGAACTTCGCAAGCTGTTCAAGCAATGCAGCCAATTTCAAAAGGAACTTTAAAGAAAAAGTGCCAACAGGAAAAAAAAAAAGAAAATAAAAAAGAAGAGTCTGATTTGTCCACTTAATCACCTAACACCTCAATAGGCTGCTCAATTTCATTTGTGTTTTCATTTCAGGGGGATAACAAAGTGCTCCTTTAAATATAAGAAAACTACACAGTACCTACACATAGGCCAAACTACAGCCACAAGGAATGGCAACACAAAATAGAAAGCAGGCTGAATGTATGTCTAGAACTTCAGGTAGTCTTTGTACTCTTAATTTTCAATCACGCTGAGCAATACAGAGTGTATTTCTGGTTTTTTTTCCTGAGAAAAGCATTGTCTTTGGTAGTAAACCATTTTGTCTCAGGAAAGCTCACAAACTCAGAAACCAGAAATATTTTAAACATCTTTTTCTTTCTCCTAATCAAAGTATTGAGAGAAATAGACTTTTATTTTAATTGATCTTGGTGAGTATATTTTTTGTCTATGCCCATTAAGCCTTCCAGATAAAGCATGCAAAAAGAAAAGAAATTTCTATCAATTATGAGGGAAAAAAAAACCCTCAAAACTTTTTTCTTGAGAAACATGCATTAGCAAGCAAGTGTAAGAACTTCTGTGCAGAAAGTATTATTCTACCTGCACAGACCTTGATGGAATTCATTCTGCACCTGCCCATTTCGGTGTGGACCTTCCAAAACAGTTGCAACAGCACAGGTTTCTTCTAAGGGAAAAAAAAAATTAATAGCAGCCATGGCAATAATGCTGGAAATTCTGGGATAATTTTTCTTCTGTATAATGAGAGCAATTTCCCCAGGGTGGGAAAGAAAGTTATCAGTAAATAGATAAAGTTAAAACATATTTCACTATGCCTCACAGAATCACTTTGTTCACATAGTTTCATAAACTCCAGGAAATAACAGTCCAGTGCTCATGGAGGTTTTTTAGAATAGAATGTTTCAGTTGGAAGGAGCCAAAAATCATCTAGTCCAGCAGCACAACCACTTCATGGCTCACCAAAGGTTAAAACATGTTATTAAGGGCACTGTCCAAATGCCTCCTAAACACCGCCAGGCTTGGGGCAGCTCTCTAGGAAGGCTGTTCCAGCATTTGACCACCCTCAGTAAAGAAATGCTTCCTAATGCCGAGTGTTTTGTACTGTTTAATCTAAAACAAGTCATGTGTATAAATCAGATTCTTCAAGATTTGCTGATCTAGTTAGCAGTGGTAGCTAACCAGAAACCATCACAGCCTGTGCTGCTTCCTACGAGCTCTCACCCACTGTATGCGCTGTACGTATGTAATCAGATACACGCTAAAAAGTAGCATATACTTTCCTTCAAATTTTACTTTATTTTATTCATCAGCATCTGAACTTCCTTCTTCTTAAGTTTTTTTTTTAACCTTTGTTACACCAAACTGCTAAGCAGAAGTAAATCCAATTCCCCCGTCAGAAATTACAGAATTCCAGACTTGAAGAACAGACCACAGTAACTATAGAATTGAGCAGTTTAAGATCTGTTTCTCTAGTTTCAAAATTAAAAAAAAAAATTAAAAATCTGTATTGACTGGAAAAAACTTACTTATACATTGCTTTCAACAGCTCTGAAATCTCTAATGATAAGTATATAGTTCACTTCAGATTAATTTGTCAAAATCTCTCTGGGTGCTATGGCTTTATGTTTCTCTTCCTCTTTAGATTACATAAAGGATAAATATTTCTTGGTTGCGAAATAAAGCACTCAGCAGTTTGCAAACACAGAAGTTGGTTAGTCATGCAAAATAATTTTTAGAAAATATACATTTTCAGTACATCATATTTGTATCATATATTAGAAGCATACACTACTTCTCTCACACTTTTATCAATCCACAGGAAAAGGAGTTGTCCCTAGTTCATTAAATAAATGCGATTTTGCTTCCCTCACTTAATGATCAGCACACATCACTTTTCCATGGAAGATCCTCATAAAGAAAGGAGTATGCTAATCACTTTTTAATGTGCAGAATAGTACCCATAGTACTGCTAATTGTAACATAACTGTATTAATCTAGTAGGCACTGCTCCTCAGCCTTCATGGTATCACTGAACTTGCAAGGCTCAGTCCTAAGATGACGTATGATCCAAAGAGTCCACTCGAGTGAAGAGCCCACTTGACCTACCTTGCAGAGTAATTTCACAAATTGCAGTGGCAGTTTAACTAGTCACCTTTCCACAGCTATTTACTCTCTCCTTCTCTATTCTGTCAGAGCACAACAAAGCCAGCTATTAGCCTCCACATCTCTAGATTCAAAATTCCCTGAACCTAGCAGCAGATCAGACAATCTCTCAGAATTTTACC